TAAATAATTATAGAAAAACAGCTCCTTTTTTTGGAGATTGCTGGGAATAAACTTAGGGTAGAAAATGGTAGGACGAGAAGTCTGTGGTAGCCTCACTTGTAGAGTGTATACGTGGTATTTCAAGCAAGGCCCCTGTGGTCTTCTGGGTGTTTGTTTTTCTTTACTCCTGTCTCTAGACATTAAGGAGCAGTTTTGCAAATAGCTACTACTGCCAGTGCTAAGCAGAATCTTTGATTGTGTATTGTTCAATAAGGACACAAAGCAGCCCTGTAGCTTGAGCATCCTGCAGTGTCTTTTTTCAGGTGGTAATTTTGGCCTTAGTATCTGTTTCTCGTTTTGCAAATCAGGAGAAATAGTTTTCTGTCGCAAAAATTACTATGAAGATTTCACAAGAGCGCTCTGAAGACTTTGTTTTAATACTTCTAAAGCCATTAGTCTGGTTAAAAATATCTTACAGACTTGTATGGTATTTGTGAATTCAGTGTTGTATAATGCTGTTGTAAACCAAAAAGACGTACAACATGTAAGGTATGGGGCCTCATTTATTAAGAAAATGAAGAACGAGGCATCCATGGAGTGAAGCCAGCTCCAGAAAGATCAGTCTGTCTGTGAGATCCTTTGGGCAGCTCAGCAGCCAGACTCAGACGTTAGGACACTTCTGTCAGCCTTGGTGCCTTTCTCCCTGAGACCTGGGAGATAGCTGTTGGAGCACTGAATACATCCTAACAGTGACGATCTTCCAGCCTCTCCTGCCAGAGTTGGTGCATATCGTGTTGTGACTGTACCATGTCCTTGCAGGAAGCAATCAGCTGCTTGGGTAGGAAGCAGCTGGCCTCAATTAGTGCACACATCTGTCTCAAGCAGTCCTGGCAGTGGGGATGACCCAGAAGTGGAGCAAGCATCGGATACTCGTCTCCAGTCTTTATATGAGCTGGGATTGGTCCAGTGCTTGTATTGTGCTGCAGTGCATGCATGGCACAACCAGTGGGTGGACAGGGATGGTGGATATCATGTTTGCGGACCACTTTCATTGCTCTACCTTGAATTTTTGAGTATTCACATGTGTGATGTTGAACACCTCCTTAACAGTTTTGTGCAGCTTTGTGTGCACATCTCCGCGGAGTGTGAGATGGCACTGTGTCAGAAGCAGGTAATGTATTTGTAAGGATGAGGGCATTCTGGAGGGTAGAAGAACTGTACAATTCTTTCTTACATCACTTGTGATGTGATAATGATGGTCTTCCTGTGCTGCCACGTAGGGCATGGCTGTGTCAGGCTCCTCTGTAGCACAGTTAAACACCTTATGGGAAATAATGGATTCTGAATGGAAAAGGTTTCCTCTTGATGTTCTAGCATGGATATTCTAGACAAATTAAAACAGGTTGGAAAAGCTGCTGGTAATGCAGGAGGATAAGGTGGGAGGTATAGGTGTTGTGCTGCTGGAAAACAGACGATCCACAGTTGTGCATTAATTTACTTCTTTGTTATTGAGCTAGGTATAGGAAGAAGTAGAAGATGCTGCTTAAGTCTCTCAGCCTGATCTAAAATAATTGCGTATATAATGGAGAAAAAGGCAACTTCTAAAAACCTTCACATTTTTTTTTTCCTACTGTTTTGAGAATAATTGGTTCCATTTCCCCCTCCTGGTCATTTGTGTGCTGCAGTATCATTGGTGAGGTGAGATGAGTGAGTAAACAGTATTTCACCAATGTGCCTGTTATGCAGAATTATGACTTCACTGGTAGCATATCTTTCACTCCGCCCATTTCATATTTCTTCTTTCTTTTCTTTCTGCCCTCCTATGTGTTAGCAGAGCTCTCACGGATTGTGTTTCTGGAGGTGAGTAGGTGACTCTTGGAGGGTGTTAAATGGGAGGGAGCCGGATGGTATCCAGGCAGTTAAATCTTAGGAACTTGCTAGTTGTTGCTGGCACGTGTTTCTGTTCTGTTGAAAAGCCACAAACAGAGCTGAAGCAGCTGTAAGCTCTAACGGGGAAATGTGGGCAGATACAAACTACTCCAATTACATGAAAGCGTATACTTTCAGTCATATCTTTCTGAATGTAGCTGCTATCTTCTGAGTATGGAACAATGTCAGCCTGACCAGTTATGTAAAAAGGCTTCGCTCTGTGTACGTTTCATTTTGAGTTAAAGCTTGCTTAGTATGTAAATAATGGGAGTCCTGTGATGTGAGACAGAACAGTTCCTTTCGGAGGTGGTCTTGTGACTGATGGCGAAGTTGGTTTGTCACATCATTATTCTGGTTTGTGTTTATCATTCATATTCTCCACCTATTTTAATGTAAAAATCCTTTTGAATTTGTCTTGGCCTTTGTGCATGCTTAAATTCCATTGCACAGCTCTCACAGTAATACTGCTGTGGTAGCTACGAGGTGATCTGCCAGAGGATTCTTCAGGCCAAAAGTTTGCAGCAGAGCCCATCTATTGCTTTGTGCAATTCTAAATGGTAAGGAATCGTTTGTCTCCCTTCAGTTTGGTGTTTAAACACTTTCAGTTGGCAGACCTGAAGATTCTAAATAAGTATTAAGTCATAAGAATTAGTATTTTAATAACTGATGTTGCGTTATGATTAGAGTATCTCGCTTCTAAACTGTTAGAACTTTTGTACGTTTTGTAGGCCTCGTTTCTTAGGTGAGATTACTGAGCTTCAGACTCCCTGAAAAATGAAGTTAATCCTTGCTTTGTACAGTGGAAACAGATGTGCAAGTGGAGTTTTTGCAGAGGACTTCCAGTTTTCAGTAACAGCAACTGTGTTATTCTCTGTACTGGCGCACTTACAGCACATGATTCATTTCGGTCTCATGCTGTAGCAAGGAAACCGCATGGATCTCTCAGTGTAGTGAGGTTAGAGAGGCATGTTTTAGGCTGAATGCAGAACAGCTATCAAGGATACTTACTCATTCCATGGAAGTCTCCTTCTGCGTTTCAAAGCAGGCCTGGGGAAAATGAATCTCTTGCATAGATGTTTCACCTTTGCTGGAGGCAACTCTGTGCTGCCTGAAGAGTCAAGCTGATGGTAATACTCCATTCTTGAAACTCAGTTCATTTGTATAATTTGTTTTCCCTGGCTGTTTCCCTGCTGTCCCCCTCCAAAATCTATACCACATTGTTGAATTTGTTTCAACTAACAGTGGGAAGGGGCTGGCTTGGGATCAGAGCCTGAGTTTATACCTGTGCAGAACTCCTTGCAGCTGAGGGGAAGGGCTCCTGCTGTGCTAACTGGAATTTGTTAGAAACCTCTGGCATCGTTTCCCAGTGCACTGGTCTTTTTGGTCATTGATCTGGTCTTGCTGGGAGATGGTGAACACAATCACAGGTTTGTCCAGATCACAGTCCACTGTGTTGGAATTGGAGTCTCTTAGAACTCCTGATAACGGTGGGTGCTGTTTGATAATGACACTGGGTTATCTGGAAGTTAAACTTTGCCCGTTGTGAAACTTGAAGCTCTTTGGGTTTGGTTTTCATTTGAATGTCTACATTCTCTCTGGTTTGTCTGGTTTCTCTGCTAGGTGCTCATTTTTCTCCCAGCAGCTGCGAAGTGAAATGTTGCTATCCTTGAGTGTTGCTTGTGTGCAGGTTTGTAAAAATCGTGTTTTAAATCTGTGTCGGCTGTTGCAGCCTTCTGTTGGGATTTCCCAGGTTGATGTGGCACCACGTCAGGCTGAAGTGCTGGCAGCAGAGGAAGGGGCTGTTTACTGTAAATGCGTGTGAGCGGCTGGGAGTTACGTGGGTGGATGGCTTGTGGGTCCTTGGGGGGTGACCGGGTGCCTTTTCACCTACAGGGTTTGTGAGGATCTGGCACATCAGCTTTTGGTGAGTTTGCCTTGGTGTCTGCACGCAGCTCATTTGGAGCGAGTGCATACCTTTTGAGGAGAAATTTAAAAACATTTCTGGTGTTGGACTGGAGCAGGGGTGACCCCTGATAGCTGTAAAATGCTGAGGGAATAGAGATGTTTGAGTTCAGATCTGAGATCTTACAGGGTTGCTGTGCATTCCCCAAGCAGCCAGCACAGGGTGTTCTGTGACCACTGCCGGGACAGCATCCGCCAGCTGCTTCAGGAAGCCCTTCCTCCATCATAAGGGAGCCGTGGTGCATTCCAGCTGTTGGATTTGGCTCTCAGAATAATTCAGATAATTGTTTGTTTCTTGAGGCAACTGCTTTGTGTTTGGGGATGGATGAGAAGACAAAGGCTGTCCTGCCTGTCCCCCTCCTGCCCAGGGCAGGCTGCATGGCTGGGTGATGGGGTGTGCTGGTGGGGCCTCGCTGTGTCCATGGTTGGTGCAAGGATAGGGACATGCCGCTACTCTACCACCTCCTCAGTGCTTGCCTACACTGTTCTGTCCTCCTCTTGGCTCTGCCTGGTGGTCTGCGTGGTTTACCTGTAGCCTAGCAAATAAACCAGCTGCATGGGGAGGCTGGGCTCCGTGCGACTGAGCCTCCGTCTGAAAATCAGAATCTGTCCTCCCCCTCTTCCTGCTCTGCTGCGTTTGTCTGCAGACAGGGGAATCTGCGTGAAGTCCCTGTCGTGCTGTGTGTGTAACGCCTGCCAGAGCATCTGCTGGCAAGGAAGGGCTGACGTCAGCAGAGCCGGGCGAGGTTTAGCATTGCGCACATTCAGTCACCTCGTTCGTCGTGGGTGATGGCTTGTTGGAACCGAAGTAGTTTGCAGGGGGGATAAATCAATGTGGGCGCCATTTGTAGCCTGATCCGCACTCTGTCTTCTGTGCGTAGAAAATGTACCTGTTGACTGTGTTTCCCCATTTATTACAGACATCTCAGGTTATTTTATAAACACTTGTGCCTGACACAGTTGGTGTGCAGGATGCTGCTTTCAGTTATTTAGCTGGGTTTGCTTTAAACAGCTCTCTGGTGTTCGGAGTGAGGATATTTTTCAGGAGCAAACTAAGTGTGTGTTGCTTGAGGGTTTTTCCCAATGTTAAAACTAAACTAGAGGTTTTTAAGCAAGAAAAAACATCTGCAATTTGAAATTCACAATGATTAACTTGTAATAGGAAGAAGGCGGGGGCTTAAAGGCACTCTGTGGGTTTATGATCTTCCAGAGAAAGCAGTATTTTATTTTCAAGATAAGCAGAGGACTGACTTTGTTACTGCCAGTTAAACAAGTATATCTGGCATGGGAATAATACCAAAGCCTGTGTGTTAGGTTCAGCATGGGGTATTTGTTTTGTCTGAGATGTGTCTGGTTGCAGGCAGTTTGGGAGAGCTGTGCATGAGGAGATCAGAGCAGGACAGGGTGTCATTGTGATAAACTCCAACTCAAGCAGGAGGATTGCAGCTGATATAAAAAAAATAAAAATAAACAAGAGCTGTTGGAGCTTTTACAAACTGTTTACTTTGTCTTTTCAAGAAAAAATCATCCTGACACATGAGAACTTCAGCTCAAATTCAGGTTAACTAGCAGTCTTGGCCCGAGACAGTGTGTTCTGCACTAATTTGGTTCACCAGATCGGTTGTTTCTGTGACCTAGGAAGCTTTTAAATCTGACTTCAGATTTTGTTTTGTTTTTAAGGCTTACTAAACACCATACTAAGTTGAAGGCATGAACCAGCATTCCTGTTTGAAAACCACAAAGCCTGCCTTTACCTCAGAACCTGAAATAGTACAGTTGGAAGTTATAATTAGCGTTGAAGCCGTTTTCAGTAACGGAGAAAATAAGCACAGCAGCTTTTCTAGGAATTGTATTGTGCTTGCTTCATTTTTTTTTTTCTTCTCGCAATTGTTTGAAATGGGTGCTGTGTCACGCAAAGGGGCCTGTCCAGCGATGCTTCCACAACTGCTGGGGAAAAGCTCTTTAGGATGGTGCTGTGTGAAGAGGAAGGTAACAGCCAAGCGGTTGTGCTGACAGAGCTGCTGGAAGGAAGGTGTGGGGCTGCATGTTGGGGGGGAGATGGGGGTGAACCCCCTCAGAAGCATAGAGACAGGGAGCTATGTTTCAGAAGTGGGGCTGGGCCATAGGGATGTAGCTTGCTAATTCTAGGAATCATGGTGTGAACAGAGCAGTGCAGGTATGCCATGACCCACCCTTACTCTTCTTTCCAGCAGCTGCTCACACAATGTTGCTGCTGCACTCCTCATGGGAGGAAAATTATGAGAGGGTCCTGTACATTTTTTTGACTTTATATCCTAATATTAAATGTGTTAAGCACAGCCTTTGACTGTTTTAAAAAAGTCTTAAGTGGCATGATACAATTTTCTGATGCTACAGAAAGCTAGGACGTTGCTGGTGGCATTAGCTCTGCATGAGCCATGACACTGTTGGCGTGCAGACCTGTGTGGGGGTGCTGCAGAGATTCACCATCCCCTTGTTGCTCTCCCTTAATGGTCATTAATGAGGCACTGAGGACCAAGGAGGTTTCACAAGAGCCTTTGAAGCTGAGTGGGTGCCCTTCCACTAACACTTCTAGCTGTTTCAAACAGTGGAGTTCTGCATAAAGGAAGTCTGCTTAGCCCCAGGTCTGCATTATGGTTACACTGCTCTGCTGTCAGTGGAAAAATATTTGGAAAAACTCACATTAGCCAGGCTAAATCCTGCTGCATGCTGACACAGCCTGTTTTTTTGGCATAGTGTGTGATGTTGTAGGTGGTATAACTGTGCTGGCAGAATAACTTCTCCTGTTGGCACATACTGTATTTCCAGTATAGGTGCAGCATCAGATGTCCTTCTGATGGCCACCATTCAGCTTTTTCTTCCTTTGTGCTTTTGAACTAGCATTTGCACTATTTGTAATGCCTGTGGAGTCTGTCTGTAATTCTGGATCATTCCCCTTGTCTTGTTCCATCTGTGCTGAACAGGCTCTATCGTTTCAGCCCGATCTCTTTCTAACTGATTTCATCTCGGTGGGGCTGGAAGAAACCTTTCCATTCTTGTCCCCAAAATAACATGGTAAGGTTGAACTTTTTACCTCATCTATTGGTAAGCAGAGGTCTGTGTGTTTTATGGCTGGCTGTTTTGTCTTTGCTGTCTCGCAGTTCTGTTCCCACTTCTCCCTGCATTAGGTTAGGCTGTGCGATAAGTTCCGTGGTACTTCTATTGCTTCCTGACGCCAATGGTTTTTCTGGAGGCAGGGAGTGTTTCCTGTCTGGAAGCTCAAGGCAGTGTTCCTGGCAGAAGGGATTATTTTTGTTTCCCTGGCGAGGACCTTTCCCTGTCTTTGTTTTTGTCTCTTTCTCTAAGTTGTTTGTTCTGGTTTGGTCTTGGTGTTTTTGGTATAGTTCAGTGACAGCTCTAGTTAAACTGTACCAAATCCATCTACACAGGACTGTTGCAGCCAATGTTTGTATACTGGCTTGGTGAATCCCTAGGCCAGGCAGCGGTGGTATTGGGTACATTGCTTCAGTTTGTGCGCTGATTTCACTTCTTGAGTGAACAGAAATGGTTAGCTGTGCTGGTGCAGGGATGCTGTCTGACAGATTATGGTGTTATGGCATCAGCCATGGCAGAGTTAAGTAGTCGTAGTTCCCACCTTTGCTGTGGACCTGCTGTTGCTGTCATGGCTGCCATGGGTTGTTCATTCAGGTCCCCAGGTTCTTCATAGAATTGTATAATAGAATGGCTCAGGTTGGAAGGGACCTCAAGGATTATCAAGCTCCAACTCCCCTGCAGGGCCACCAATCTCCACACTTAATACTAGAGTATCCTGTATTTCTGAGTCTCTTGTTGAATTATGTTAGCACAACAAATAGTTGCTTTTTACAGAGCCTTCGATCAGATGGAACCATACGCAGAAGCTGTTGCCAAGGTTGAGGTGCACTTCAGTCGCAGCATCTTAAGTTGAGGTGAGCTGTCCCAATGCCTTGCAGGATCTGTGACCCAGTTCAGATCCATGCCATGGTGAGGCAGCACAGCTGGCTTGGTCTCACAGAGAGAGTTCAAGACCTTTAACCTCAGTTTCCTTTTAAAGTTAGTTTTAAGTATGTTATGCGTGTTATCTGTGTATCCATTTTGCTAATAATAATGGATAAAATAGCACTGGAAGCTGGAAATCATGCCTGAATACTTTCCAGTGCTTCTTATTTTGAGGCGAAGATATTTCAAGACTAGATAGATTTTTTTTTTTTCTTTTTCTTCCCCACCCTGAAAATAAGTGTTAGGTCTGCCAGAGACAACCTGGAAGGGAGCTGAAAGATGCTGTCTGTTGGTCAGCTGTTCACTAATGCCTTGCTTCAGTGCCAGACAAACTCCTGGCTGCTGCTGCCAGATTGAATATTAAATTGGAGCCAGGACCTGAGATCTGTTACCTCTTCTGTACCCTGGCTGCCATCTCTGCAGTGTGGTATGCGGGGCAGAAGCTGCCCAGGCTTCTCTGGAACTCCTGCTCTTGGTTTTAGATCCTGCTGCTGTGATATTTGTCCTGCCTTACAGCAGGGTACGCGTTACTTTGTTTTTTAGAGTAGGACACGCTCTGAAGATTGATTGAAAACAGAAATGTCTCAGAACTTGATGTGTGGCCATTGATGTCTGAGCAGGCATGATTACAGGCCTGAAATTACATCTACATATTCTGGAAGTTTGCAGAAGTCTGAGTTATTTTCATTTTGAAGCAGTTTTTCTGTAAAAATGACCTAAGCTCGCAGAAGTGTTGCAATGTTTTCCACTTGCAGTGTTGGTAATACTTGCGGAACCCAAACTTTCTGTTTATGTTTCACCTCTCTATGTATTCATTCCAGTTGTTTTGCAGTATATAATTTAGAATAAAAAGGAGCTGAAGTAAATCCCAAGGCATTGGTCAGTAGTAGTTTAAAGAGCAAAACCCAAAGTGGGGAATAATTGCTTTGGACTATATGCAGAGCTTAGAAAAATCCAGCATTGAGTTTTTGTTCTGAGCAAAGTAAATGTGCTTGGGGATTATTTTGATATTGCTGATCATTTCTTTTGTTTCATTTATATTTTTCTTAACACTGCATGGATGGAGTATCTGGGTCTGTTAATACCTTATGTGCGTTTTCAGAAGGAAGAATTTAAAATGAAGTTCCTTAGCTCTTTCGTGTTGATTGCACTTAAAGATGATTAGAAATTTAAAAGCAGAATTTACAGTATATTCTCTTAGGGTGAGAAAGAGTTTGGTTTTTATGTGGTTTTGAGGGTTTTTTTAATTGTGTTTTTTTCATTGCTGTTGCTATTGTTTTGTGGTGTTTTGGTGTTTGTTCTGGGTTGTAGTTGTTTTTGTCCCAGGCATGGCAGACAGTCATTTGTCCATCCTTGGTCAGAAGAATTTGTTCCCACAGGCCAACTTTCTTATCGGCTTGATGGACAGAATGAGTACCAAGTTAAAAATGAAAGCATTAATGCAGTTGGATTAAAACCCCTTTTTGGTGTGTCGGCAGCTTGGGCAATTTTTAATCCCTTGGTGTTGTTTCCACTTTCCAGACTGCCTGCCAGCCAGATGTTTTAGAGTATGACCTCAGCGTCTATATATATATAAACAAATCACTCCACGGAAGTGAAAATACATGCCCATCATTGCACAAAGAGAAAAAATTACCAGCACCTATGCAAGAAAGTATTGTGTCTGTATGAGGATTTTAATGGTTAAAACAATAAAATACTGCTGGTGAACCAAAATTTCTCCCCCCCCTCCCTTTTTTTTTTCCCCCCCTCCAGGATTTCCAGGAGTGGTTTGAGTTGGCTGAATTTGGTGTACATTTGCTTACAGTAGCACCACAGTGCATAAGATCAGCTTCTTTTTGTCATTGCAGTAAGAGAACATGGTTGGGCTAAGACTGCTTTGCTCAGGTAGATAAGAGAAAATTGATCCTGTTAGTCTTCCCTGCTACAGATATAGGCTGGGAGGTTCATAAATAGAGCCAGGTCTCACTGCTGAGCTGTTGGTTTGTGTCAGCCGTTGTGCTTGATGTATCCATATGTAATGCTACTGGTTTGGAAAATTAGTGTATATATAATTTAAGGAATCCTGTTGCATTTGTCATCAACTGTACGTTGTGGACCCTTAGAATATCAGCAGACCTCTGCCTTACCATGGCTGACCTTGTTTATAATGTACATCTGTGCAGAAGAAATTTACTGGGCATCTGAATTGTAGAGGAAAAGATGCTTCTCCTCCAAGCTGCTTGTGTCTGATTGTGGAGTGGTTTTTTTTGGAGTTTAAAAGGACAGTGACCAAAAAGCATCACGGAGCCCCAGAACAGTCAGGCTTTGGGGAGGCCCATCAGCTGCTTGTTCTTCTGTGCAAGTGCTCTCTGCAAGGGTTAGGGAGTGGTGGTGTTGGCGCTGGCAGCGTCACTCTGACTTTCAGAATGAGCTGAGAGCTTGCAGGACTTCCTTTCCTAACAGCAGCTGTCACAGACACATGATACGGGTTGTGTTGCGCAGTCAATTCTAAGGAAGAAGCGTAACTACTGAAGGCTTTTCTGCTGTTAGGATTGGTTGGTCGTGTGCTACGTACCAGTGTGAATTTTAAAGCAGAACATGATATATCAGTTAACTTTTGTCAATTCTGCAGCAGGTGCTCTGCAGGACTGTGTGTACTTTAACCCCTGTCAGTCTCCTGACTTGAGTGGCTGGTCAGAGGGACTGTCTCAGGCTCTGAGCCCAAGCGGGTCTGCTGTCTGTGTGCTTCACTGTCTTACGAACAATTGTGGCTTTGTTCTGAAAGTGAAAATAACGTTTCCAGATAATTGGCACGAGGTTGTAAAGAAAAATGAACTGTAATCAAAGTAAACTGTGAGGTGACGATGATTACCGTGTAGCGTTTAGGGTTTTAGGAGATTCAAATAGATATTTGCACTGCTGCACAAGTGCTATTCATATTAAGTAATGTATAATTGTAGCTGTGTAAACCAAAATTCTTTTATAACATGATTTGGGATTTGAAGTAATACTCTAGACTTGAAGTTGATAAGAGAAACCACAATGTTTCTTTTTAATGTTTGTTGAAAGGTATTTGCAGACAGAACTCTTGTTCTGCTTCAGTGATCACCCAGCTGAGGTGTAGGTTAGCAGCTGAAAAGAAATGCTGCGTGTCACCTGGGAGCAGTGCTGGCCTTCCACCTGCTTCTAGTATCTCATAAATATACTTTTGTTTAATTTTAAGTGTTGTTTTTTTTCCAAGCCTGTCCTAATTATTAGACGATTTATAAAGCCAATTGACTGTGTTACAGAAATTTTGGAACAGGCTGCCCAGGGTGGTGGTTGAGTCACCATCCTCGGAGGTGTTCAAGAAATGTTTAGATGCTGTACTGAGGGCCATGGCTTAGTGAGGAAATGGTGGTGGTAGGTGGATAGTTCGACTGGATGATCTTGGAGATCTTTTCTAACCTTGATGATCATATGATTTCCACGTTAGAGCAAATCCTTTTCCTCCTGGGAGATTTCTCACTTTGCTTGTGTCGGGCTTTTCTTCTGAGAGACTCTCCTTTCCCAGCTGTGCAGGGGTAAGGGCTGCCCCCCTGTTCTGCTTGTCAGTGCTGCTGAGAGGGATATGGCCGCCATCTTGTCAGCACCTCCGATTGCTGCAGACATGAAGGTGGAGTTGGGAAGTGCCTGGAACAGTGCTTAAAAGCAGAACTTACTTTACTGAAATGGTTCCGTTTGTTTAAAGTTGATAAGTAACTTTTGAGACTTGTCTTGACATTTCTAAAGATTTTGACAAACTTGTCTTTTGACCAAATGTGAGTCTGGGAGTCCCATTTCTGAAAAATGGCTTCTATGCATCCATCAGTGAATCAGTTGTAGATATAGAGAAGTGAGAGCCTAATTAACTAAATAATGAAGTGATGTGCACTTTGAAAAAGGTCTACAGGTAATAGGAGCTCTGGTAACTTAAGAGCGGTCTGGTCTCTGTGCCTGAAGCGAAGTACGTGCGTGTGTGTGTGTGCAGGGGGGCATGAATGTGGAAGTATCTTCCTGCACAAGTGTCTGAAAGATCACAGTTACTTTCTGCTCAGATCAGTTTTGTAAAATGTAACCTTGCTATACCGGTGCCCTCTTTCAGAAAAAGAGAAAACCACAATGAAGAAAAATTTACATTAGTATACACTTCAAATAGTCTTACACAGCTCAGTGTGAGGTGAATGAATTATTTAGGTCACTTTGACTTTGTATTTTATATCCTGGCATACTGTAATACATCACTGTAAATGTTTGGTAAGCATAGGGTTGTTTTTTCTCTAGATCTGGGAAGTTTCTCAAAGCTTGAGAATTTTTTTGATACAAATCTGTTAACTTTCTTAGATTGAACGATCTTATTGGTTTAATCCAAATAATGAAACTCTTTAATTTTACCTTGTATTAGAAATCAGAGTTAAAAGGCATCCCGAAAAAGCCTGCAAACTGAAATTCAATGTTTACAAGATTATAAAGATATTTAATGATAGATATATCACTAATTGTTGTAGTTTTTGAGGGAAAACACTGGAATTGTTGAGAAAACAATTGAGCTGTTAAGTTCTTTGAAGGCTGTACCTCAGTCTGTTCTAATTCTCCATGCTGCCAGACTTTGGGCGAACCAGATCAAAGGCAGTAGGGTGTATTTTTTAGAAATCATGAGACAAAAGTGCTCTTTTTTTCTCTTCGGTTTAAAAACTACTGTGGAATGAAGTGATATGTAAAGAATGCCTGTTAGAGCCATAAACTTGATTGATATTTAAAAATCCTGTGCATTGGCTTTTAACTTAATAGCTTAAACTTTTGCATACGTTTTACTTCTTACTCTGTTTTATTTTTACAATTCTTACACTGTGGAGTAAACAAAAATGACAGTGTGTTTTTCTGATGCTTTCTTTAGGTGTTTACAGATATCTGTACATAAAGAACATCGTAAACTAGAAATTCCAGGATACAAGAGATCACAACAGGAGATCTTCATTAGAAGAGGGAGGCAGAAGCAAGCGTCACATCTGTAGGTATGTTGTCTGTGGATGAACTTTGATCTCTGGGCTTTTTTGCTAAAGCTGTCTGCTGGTTGGGGAAGTGCATCTCTCAGAGAGCAGGAGAGCGTGGGTGTTGGGTGTTACAGATGTTAAAGGAAGCTGTTATTTGTTTATTTTGATCAATAAATAGCTTTCAGTGTACCAACACCAAGTTGATGGTTGGTTAAATTGCCAGGAGGAACAAATGCATAAGATAAAGGGTGCAACAGGAAAAGTCAAAATCTGTAATTTAAGCACCAGTGACGTAAGGCAGTTCTTAAGGATTTTAGTGATGACGTAGCTGCGGCTATATTTATGGTGTTTTCTGTTTTCTTACATCAGTGTTTAAACCTGCTGTCATGCTGCAAAGTTGCATGTACAGCTGGCTGGGAATACCTTCTTTGTGATTGCTGTGCTAGGTTGTGTGTGTGAAGAGCAGGCTGCAAGATAAGCTGCTGTCTCTGTGTTTGAAGAAGTTAGGGACAGAAGGGTAGTCTTCTGCAAATAATTAGCCTGTGGGATTATGACTATTGCTCTCTTCTTGCAAATTCAGTAGGGTTAAACTTGGCCATCTTAGAGCATTTCTCAAGAAGTTTTAAAATTGGTGAGGTGCTAAGGTTACATTGCAGAGAGCCATACCAGAAGACATTTTTCAGTCATCTCAAAGTAGAAAACTTAATTTGTAAGATTTTCTTATTTCCTTTCCCTCTTTCCTCATTATATGGTTAGCAATAGCATTTACTTAAGTCAGCGAGGCCAACAAGAACTACAAAAGGGAATAAATTGGGTGTAAGTGGAGCTAGTTTGCTGGGGAAACCTGTTGAGGAAACGCAACTGAAGCAACATGCAGAAAATAAATGCTGAGTTATGTCTATAAACAAGTTATGTCAATAGGCGTCATTTGTGCTTATGGAAATCTTCAAATTAGAAGATGTCTCTGTGCTGTGGAAAGTTGACTTGTCGTGGTCTGTGGCATGAGAAAAACGCAAAGAACTGCTAAAATCTTGATTTGTGGTAGGGTTTTAGGCATGGCAGGAAGCCAGAAACATGTTTTTATGTAATCTGTTAAGTGTTTTGAGGAAGTGTTGAAGACAGTGGTGAACTTATATTTCTGGGAGTTGGGTGTTTGTTAATCCCTTTCCCATGCTAATTGTTTGTGTATACAGGTCAGGGAGAGTGGCACAGACTCTGCTGCTCAGAGTCAGGGTACTGACAGCTGTCATCCTAATTGAGCATCTCAGCTCCTTTGAAATCTTTTGATTTCACAACTCGACTTTTCACACAGCATATCTATTCCGTATGGGCTTGTTGTTACTGGAATAATGCAGGCATTGTGTTCTCCTGCTGTACGGAACGAAATACCTTTCTTCTGTCAGCAAAAATATGCAGATGCTGTGTTGGGTTGGGCAGCATGAGGGCTGTCAAGGGCTCCATATTACACCAGCAAGGCTTTTGTGCTTCTGTTCAGCTCTGATTGTAATTAGCATTGTAAGATTTGTCTTCATTTTTCTCTGTAATAAATCATTTGCAGTGTCTTTTAGGCAGTCATCTTCAAATGCTACTAAAAATGACAATCCAGAATTACTGCATAGGGAAGAATATGGATTTTTCAACTAACCTTGTGCACTTGAATCTAGAGAGAGTAATTGATGCTTGTCTCGAAGTATCTGGCAGCTTCTCTGTTCAATAGTCCTGACAGAATTTCAGCCTTTTTTAGAAGAGCATGAGAGACTGCTTATTGGATCTCTCTGTGCAAAGAGAACTGTAGGACTTAGTGGCTTCTTTAGAGCATGAGGGAATCTGTTTATTTAAAAAATAAAAATAAAAATGAATGTCTGTTTAACCACCAGAACTGCTATTTCTTGATTTTTGTACATCTTTTGAAACTGACAGAGATGGCTGTAATATGCATTCTTTCCTTCCCAGAGAAAGGGAGGGGGAATGGTCATAGTTATAGACTTGGTTGGGTTACTCTTGTTTTTTTCTTACTTTGGTTAAGGAAAAAAAAAAAACAAACACCATCACCTTGCTTGAAATAAATGCTTTGATTTCTGTTCCTGTCCATCGTGGATTTTCCTGCTTTGATGAGGATGGAGTTTTCTACTGACCTGGTAGTACCAGCATGGTACTAAGTAGTTATAGTCATGCTTTTAAGTGTATTTGTGCTCTTCTAGACATATAAACGGAATGTATCAAAAGCATTAGGCTATGATTTGTGCATCTTTAGTATATTTCAGACACTGTGAACAGTATCTATGATATAATGACAATATTCTATACAAAAGATTTTTCCCTTTTATCCCTTTGGGCAGTTTTGGACATTGGCTCAGAGGAGTATTTTGTGAGACAGTCCTGAAGTGCAGAGGAGTCCAGGAAAGCTGGAGGTTCCTCAAGAAGGAAGCCTTAAAGGCAACAGGAGGTGGACCAAAAGTAGAATCTCCATCCTTTATTGGATGTAGTGGGGAATGCTGTCACCAGATGATCCCAGTAAGGATCATCTTGAGTTCAATTTGATGGCATGTGTAGGACAATCTAGCCAGCGTGGGTTCATGAAAGGCAGGTCCTGCTTGACCAACCTCATCTCCTTCTGTGAGAAGGTGACTCACCTAGTGGATGGGGTAGAGGCTGTGGATGTGGTCTACCTACACTTCAGTAAAGCCTTTGAATCTGTCTCCCTCAACATACTCCTGCAGAAGCTGGCAGGTTGTGGCTTAGACGGATTTACACTTCTGTGGGTATAAAAGTGTCTGGATGGCTGGGCCCAGAGAGTGGTGGTGGAGTTAAATCTAGCTGATGACTCTAGTCACCAGTGTTTGGTCCTTGGGGTCAGTACTGGGGCCAGTCCTATTTAATATCTTTATTGATGATTTGGATGAGGAAATTAAGTGCACCCTCAGTAAGTTTGCAGATGATACCGAGTGGGGAGAAAGTGCTTATCTAAGGGTAAAAAGGCCCTACAGAGGTATCTGGACAGGCTGGATCACTGGGCCGAGGCCAATTGCCTCAATTCAACAAGACCAAGTTTAGGGTTCTGTACTTCAGTCACAACGACATAGCTACAGGCTGGGATAGAGTGGCTGGAAAGCTGCATAGAGGAAAAGGATCTGGGGGTGTTAGTTGACAGCTGTCTGAACATGAGCAAGCAGTGTGCCTGGGTGGCCAAGAAGGCCAATGGCATCCTGGCTTGTACCAGAAATAGCGCAGCCAGCAGAACCTCTCACTATAGGAAGGACATTGAGGTCTTGGAGTGTGTCCAGAGAAGGGCAGTGAAGCTGTGGAGGGTCTGGAGCACAAGCCTTACAGGTAGTGACTGAGAGAACTGGGATTATTCAGTCTGGAGAAGAGGAGGCCCACTCTCTGGGGGGGAGACTCCCAGAAAGGCTATGGGGTCTCCTCCTTGGGGATGTTCAGAAGCTGCCTGACTATGGGCCTGGGCCTCCTGCTCTGGGTGTCCCTGCTGGAGCTGAGGTGAGCCAGAGGGGCACAGAGGGCCCTGCCAGCCTCAGCTGTCCTGGGGTTCCTTTTGGCTAGATTTTAGGCTGATGATGGAAGGGAGGGTTTGTTATGTTCCTGAAACTGGCTTTATTTTAGATAGATCCTGGGAATAAAAATAAGATTTTTTTGATAGTGTTCCACAGAGATTTTCCTGAACACAGTGGCTTTTTAATTTTTCCTTTTTAAGATTAAAAAAAAAAAAAGGCGGAGTGACCTGAAATACAAGACTTCTTTTTAACAAGCCCAGGAAGTGTATGTGTTGTTGTGCTTTTCTTTAAAATTCTGACACCTGAGGTGGGTAGCACTCCTGTACAGTACAGCTGCCCAGAGAGGTGGCATAAGTGTGATCACCCTGACTGTCTGACCATGGTCTAAAGAGGTCTGGCTATGCCTGGTTGCAGTGGTTGGTGGCTGTCTGGGAGCCTTTTCTGCCCCTTCTCTGGGGGTGGATTGCTGCTTCCAGTGTCTTGGCTCACTCATCCTGGGGTTAGGGCTCAGGTGTGCAGCACACAGCATCCAGCGTCAGATTCTGTCATACTGAAGTGAAATCATGGAAACCCACAGAACTCCTTCCAGGGGCACAAGCAGAGAAGTGCCGAGGAGAAAAGTGGTGCCAGCAGGTGCAGCATCCAGGCACGCACCGCTGATGTCCAGTGAGAAATAGTTTCCTTCTTTTACAATGCTAAGAATTCCTCTTGTACAGTGAAGCTACCAAGAAGTGGCAGTATTTGCGTATTGCTGTAAGTTGGTGGTTTTGGTTGGAACTGATCAGCTACTTGTTGTAGAAGTCTCCTCTGTCAGGAAAATGGGAGAACATATTTCTGCCTCTTTCCTTGGAGCTGTCCTATCAACAGAAGTTCCTTGTCCTTGCCTTGTACAGGGAGATTAACTGAACCTTAGTATGTGCTGGGAGTCTGTTTTTTTCCTTAAGTTTTGGTTTTTACTTTAAATATCATGAAAAATTCAAATGTCATCACCTTAACTCTAGTCTTTGCTTGAATTGCACTATGGAAATTGAATGGCAAAGCAGCGTTGGCTGTCACTCTGCAGCTCTGTTTCCTGAAATATTCAGGTGCTTTACATCCAAATATGCATCTGCGTGCTTCTCTGCAAGCCCTTATGATTTGAGAATTTCATAAGTTGTTTAGCCACAGTGACTTGTTTTCTGCTGATCGTAAAGTGAATTCAAAACACACAGAAATTCTTAGTTTGTTTTATTTAACCTTATACGTGACTTGATCACATGTACAGTAGAGAAAACAAAGTTTCCAATGCTTATTGGCTTGTTAGTGTGCTTTATGTAAGAACTGGTTATACATTTACTTAGTTGTCACCAGGGATTATGGTGATTTCTATACACATGCATGCACATTCCTAGAGAGCAAGGGAGTAAAGTTGCCTTCTCAGCACCACTTAAGAATAAAGATGTTCCTTGCCCCCAGGGAATTTTGAGGCTCCTTAAGATGAGAAGGATGTAATGGGTAGAAAAAGCAGACAGAAAGAAATACTGGGTGAGAAGATTGTAGTAATATGAATAACAGGTCATTAGAGCGTCAGGATCTTTCAGAACCAAAAGTGATGAATGTTCTTCTAATCTCTCTCTTCTTTTTTCTCTCCTAATGTAGGAGATTCCTTTGAAGAATTTGCTGCAAACAAAGATACACGTGAATTTTCTGCATGACGACTCCCATACTGGATTACATAACATTAGGACTTCTGACGATGTTTTGATCCTTAAAAATGATTAGGTTTGTATATGAGATTTAACCCACTTCTGATGAGTGATCTAGACATGAGTTTACATCGGCAAATGGGCTCTGATCGGGACCTCCAGTCTTCGGCTTCCTCTGTGAGTTTGCCTTCAGTCAAAAAGGCACCAAAGAAAAGAAGAATTTCCTTGGGCTCTCTTTTTCGGAGAAAAAAAGACACAAAACGCAAGTCTAGGGATCTGAATGGAGGTGTTGATGGAATTGCAAGCATTGAAAGCATTCATTCAGAAATGTGTACAGACAAGAACTCTATTTTCTCCACATGTACCTCTTCCGACAATGGAACAACCTCTAGCAGCAAGCCAAGCGGAGACTTCATGGAATGCCCCTTGTGCCTTTTGCGGCACTCCAAGGACAGGTTCCCGGAGATAATGACTTGTCACCATAGATCTTGCGTGGATTGCTTGCGTCAGTATCTCCGGATAGAAATTTCTGAGAGCAGAGTTAACATCAGCTGTCCGGAGTGCTCCGAACGGTTCAATCCTCACGATATCCGTTTGATATTGAATGATGACATCTTGATGGAAAAATATGAAGAGTTTATGCTTAGGCGATGGCTAGTTGCGGATCCTGATTGTAGGTGGTGCCCAGCTCCAGACTGCGGGTATGTTTTCCTCAGTGTCTGCAAAAAAGGTGACAGCGTAAATGGGTAACATGCATAGCATTACGCTTTTTGAGAAGTGAATTGCTTTCTTTAGTATTTTGTTGTGTTGTATGAATGGGTGGCAAACAGAATTTTCATTTTTAAAAAGACAACAAATAAACCCACCACAACCCCCTTTCCCCCAGCCCTCAGTTTTATCTCGTGTGGTGTTCCTTTGTTCTGCACAGAGAGAATTTCAGTAATGTAATGAAATGCATTGGTAGGTGGATGCTGTGTATCACTGCAGGGAAAAACTTCAGGTGTGCTGTTAAGGTAAGGGCACAAAGCTCAGACTAAAAAATTTTGACAACCAGGTGGCTGTACTTTTGACTTAGTCCATTTGTTTGGATTTTTCTTGGAAAAGAAAACAGGGTATTTCTGTTCTGTTTTTTTTTTTAAAACAATGAAATATGATTGAAGATTTTCTTCTTATAAAAAGCCTGCTCCAGCTTCAGTTATCTTCTGTCTCGTGGCTGCTTGACACACCACTCGTTGCCTGTCAGCGGGATTGTGATGTGTGATAATCATCAGTTTGTTCCTGCTTATTATCTGAAGAGCGTAATGTTTAACATTGCTTTAAAACTCAAACAGTTCTGAAACCATTCTGAATTCTGACACGAGTAGGCTCAGTACTGCCATGCAGCTTGTCGTGCTTCTCTGCAGCTGGTGGCTCATAATCCCATTCTTCAGCAAGTTGCTTTTTTAGAGAGATTCTTTTGCATTACTGTATCTTCTAAAGGTTGTAGCTGTGACTGCAGTTTGGATGTGCAGCACGTGCTAAAACCAATTAGAACATGGTACCTCTGTTTTAAAGCCTCACAAATGAGTGATAAGAAAATGGAAAAGGAGGAGTGTTGGGAGAGAACAAATTAAACAGGATTGGCTACTAAATAGGTTAAATATTCTGATGGTAATGGTCAGTGCTTAATGTTTAGAAGGCTTTTAAATATAACCATATGGTAAGAAACATTTAAGATGGTATGAAAGCAGAATTTTATGAAGTGAAATTTGCTAATGTGGGTCAGACGTGATTTGCGACTGGAAAGGTGTTAGCTTCACAGGTTCAGTGGTCCAGAATGGGTGGCACTGCTGTGGTATCCAGTGGTCCAGAATGGGTGGCACTGCTGAGGTTTCGTCTGAGCACAGGACAAGAATGACTTAAGAGACAGATTGAGTGCATGACTTTGTAACAGAGTTGTGTGGACAGAACCAGTGCAGCTTACTCCTAGTATTTTGATACTGCCAAAGAAAACAAACAGTGGATGGCCTTATTTGAAGGATGCTTTGCTTGGGATTCCCTGAGTTTTGGTGTTCTGAACAAACTCATCTTACTCAAGCATGTAAGAACTTGGCTACACTGTCTGTTAAACCATATTTCAATGATTCCAGTCACGTTAGAAAGTGCTGAGAAAGGAAGGTGCAGAGGAGTTTTAATGGAGACTTGACTTTGCTTGTTTATTGCATCTCAGTTTTTTGATTTAAAGAAAATCGAAAGTTTATTTAAAGAGTTGGGGACAGTGAAGATAATTCTTACAGATGTATCATTGGATACTTATCAACAGGAACAACCTTTATCATTGTTGTCCCAAAGAAACAGGAGATTATGTGGCTGTGTTTTGCCTTGCTCCCATCCTTCTGGTTGCTTTTGGGACCTTCAGTACCTTGAAATAGTTTGACGATGAATCACAGAATCATAGAATGGCCTGGGTTGAAAAGGACCACAAGGATCATCTAGTTTCAACCCCCTGCTATGTGCAGGGTCACCAACCACCAGGCCAGGCTGCCCAGAGCCACATCCAGCCTGGCCTTGAATGCCTCCAAGGATGGGGCATCCACAGCCTCCTTGGGCAGCCTGTTCCAGTGTGTCACCACCCTCTGGGTGAAGGAACTTCCTCCTAAGATCTAACTTAAATCTCCCCTGTCTCAGTTTAAAACCTTTCCCCCTTGTCCTATCAAGAAAATTCTGATGAAGTGGAGAGTAAGGCAGGCGGTTGTAAAGAAAAGAATGTGGGGGAGGCAGGGTGAGCTCCATTGTTCTCATCACGTATAATCAAGATATTTAGATTGAAAGAAAAAAGCTTTCAGCATAATTCAATTACTAAGTTCTGTGGGGAAAAAAAAAGCAACACCACAATAATTAAGTAGAAGAAAGATGACCAATAATGCCTTCGGTGAGAGAAAAGCTGTGTATGGATCCTGCAGATCTTGCTTTTAGTTTGGCCTCTGGTCCAGCTGGCAGCCAAGGCAGCTGGTAGCAGCATGCAAGAAGAGGTGGGAAGGGGAAGTGAGAAGCAGTGGGAGAGTAATATCGGGGATTTTTAGGATGTAGTGATTAGAAAGAGGGTAGAGGAAAGGGTTATGCAGAGGGGAGGTTTAGAGAAGCAAACATGATTCAGCTTTTGTGCTAACACTGTGTGAAGGTCCCGTGCCACTTAGGGTATGCACAGACTTCAGCAGACATTTGCTCTAGTAGTTGTGGTACAGCAGTAGTCATACTTCTCCAATTGCTGCAATCAGTTTGCACGATATCCAGTTAAAGTGGAGGGCTTTCTTCTCTCATCAGTTAGTGGTGTGTGTTACTGGGAGATTGCAGCATGTGATGATAGCTGCCCTGATGTTAGCCTGAATCAATGTTTTCTTGAAGGAGGTGGATGGAATGTATTTATTGAATTTGCAATTAATCCCGAAGTAGGAAAGGGAGGTGTAAGAAGTTCAGAGGGAAGCAGTGTTTCCTGAAGTTGTACATTTTGGTAAGAATAATTTTCTGCTCAAATGGGTAAGAGAGTGAACTGAGTAGATGATATGTGAGAGCACTTCTGCTTATCATCGACGAAACACCTGGTGTAATTGTTTCAGGGTTTAGAATCATAGAATTGTTTGAGTTGGAAGGGACTCTAAAAGGTCATCTGGTCCAACTCCCCTGCAGTGAACAGGGATGTCCACAGCTAGATCAGCTGCTCAGAGCCCTGTCCAACCTGACCTCCACCAATAGAGCATCTACCACCTCTCTGGGCAGCCTGTGCCAGTGTCTCACTACCATATTGTAAAAAAACAAACAAACAAACAAAAAAAAACACACCTTTTCCTTATATCTAGCCTAAATCTCCCCTCTTGTTGTTTGAAATCGTTTCTCCTTGTCCTATCAAAACAGACCCTGTTAAAGAGTTTGTCCACTTCTTTCTTACAGCCCCCCTTTAGATGCTGAAACATCATGTGAAAAATGGTCTCTATCAGAAGAATTACTGTTTTTATTAAAACTACAGTTGTTGAGTGCAAACTGAGGAAGAGACTGCAGGGGTGGGAAAGGAGGGAAGCGGGGTGAGTGTCATAGGGTCAGTGTGTGGGCCAGCTGCAGCTGCCTGCAATGCCTTGGTAGGGATGTGGGCCAGTGGCTGATCTTTCCATGGGAAGGACAACGGATGAGGAAACCTCTTGGGTTTTCTTCCAGACAGATTTCTGGGGATTGTTTCAGCATATGAGTTGTCAGATGCCATTTCAACAAGCCTGCAGTGAATCCGTATTCCAGATGTGTTGTGTCCTTTATTCTGCCTGATTATTTAGTGATTTTGCTCAGAGATTACATTGCTGACGTTATTAGAAGAGAGCAGCGATCCTGAGATTCTATCTTTCTCAAGCAAGGAGTGGGTTGGGCAGAATACAGGTTCTTCATTCCTTCACCATACACCATTTTGCAATTATTTGTTCTTCTCCCATTATTTTTACTTGCTGTTACCCAGAGTTTGGCTCTTGAAATGAATGCAGGGCCTTGAGGTGAAGCCTGGAACCTTGCACAGTTTACTGTGCAAGGTTTACTGTGGTCTGAAAGGTTCCTTTCTGAAGGTCTGGTACATCAGCCCCAGAAGGCATGTGCCATCAGGGATGTGCCCTGTCCTCGACAGCAGATGTGCTAATGCCCAGTAACCTCAGGCACAGGCCCAGTGCACCTCTTTGATGTATCCCTTTATGTTGAAGAAGCATTTGGATCAGAGTTGTTTTGCATGCATACAAAGCAATTATTTCTTCAAGTTGCTCTAACTGGGGAAAATTGAGCTGATTAACTTGGCACTGAACAACTGAAAGAGTCTGACAATTATTGACCAAATTTTTACTTGGAAAGCAAGAAATGTTTGCAAACAGGCAAGCATGTATAATTTTTGTAGCTACAGCATCTGTAATTTAGGAGTTGAAAACGCTTGTTCTCCAACCTGCTGTTTTAATTCATGAATGAAGCCAATAGGACTTCACGAAGCTTCAGACCTATCAGCTCCAAAACTGAAATAGCTACATTTTCAGGTAATGATTTGTGCAGAAGTAGTTTTTTAGTAACATTAGTGAATGTTTCACATGAATTTTATGCGACTGCTGTACATGGGATAGGATCTGTTAATAATGTACAACTTAATTTTTTTTACAGTAAAGCAACTTTCCTATGAACAGCCATAAACTTAAGCCATGCTGTGCTTACAGATCTGCTAATGTCTGTTCAGAGGGGCTGTTAGTAAGAGCTAAGCTGTACATCTGAGTGTTCTCAGCAGGGGATATAGCATTTCTATTTAAAATAAAGCTATTGCATCAAAGCATTGAAAATGTCACAGTGGGGCAGGAATTAAGAGGTGTGTGCATATGTATGTATATCTGTGTATTTCTATATTTGTTTAGGACCTGACCTGGTGTGAATTGTAATACGTGTCTGTGTCTTTATCATATAAACTTCAACATTTAAACCTGTGGCAGGATTTATTTTCAGCTGTGACTTGTGGAAGCAGCATCATTGAATGTGGTTGCTGATGGTTGTTTGATTACAAAATAATGTAACAGTTTTATAAGTCTCAGCATTTCGGGAGCTTTTTGGTTGTTAGTGTTGTCAGAGTAAAGCTGGTAACGATGTCCCAAACTCCCATCTATTTATGCATTTCTGGTTTGAAATTAACTTTTAAAATAATGGAGTATTTTATAAAAATACTTACTCTGTTTTGATATTTTAAAAGTTTGAGGAGCATTTGAGCTAGGAACAACCAGCAAAATAGAAACTGTTGCAGAGCAGCAAGTCAGCTGCCTTGGGAGTAACAGCTGATGCTACTGCTCCTGTGGTAGAGATCATCCTGTGACAGAGGCACAATCTCACTTAGATGTGTCCAGAGTGCCTGGGACACTTCTGAAGCTGTAACTTTTTCTAAGTTTTTTGATTTTCTTTTCCCACTCTTCTAACCATCGCTGCTTTCTGACCTTCAACTTCTCAGTACTGCATTCAGCACTTTCAGTACCACCTGAAGCCATTAAAGGTTGGAGAGAACAAAGTGTTGCATTGATCAGAGTGCTTCTGTGCAGTCTTAATCAACTATAGTAGCAGTATGCACGTGACAGATCGAGGTGGTATGGAACCTGTGCTGGCATGGCATGGTGCCAGCTCCTGGTGTCCACAGCCTTCCTTGCTGCTTCAGCTATTCTGGCAGCTCTTTTTAGCTTTAGTCTGTAAATGAAAAACATTTCTGTTAACAAAACTCTTTTGCCCCTCTTGATCATTCAAGATATGCTGTGATCGCATTTGGATGTGCCAGCTGTCCCAAACTTACATGCGGACGAGAAGGCTGTGGAACTGAGTTCTGCTATCACTGTAAGCAGATTTGGCATCCGAACCAGACCTGTGATGCTGCTCGCCAGGAGAGAGCTCAGAGTCTGCGCCTGAGAACAATCCGTTCCTCATCTATCAGTTACAGCCAGGAGTCTGGAGCAGCAGGTACGTATGATTAGGATCCTGTGCCTGTAAAATACATTCCTAGTAATTGCACGATTAACTTTGAAATGACATAATAGTAGCTTGGAAGATGATAACTTCTTTGTGTTTCAGAAACAAAAAACATATGTTTTTAGGTTTGAATTCAAATTTTTGAAGTTAATACTTGAAGTACTCTCTGACCAGGGCACCTATCTTTGTTTTTAGAAGGCTGCTAGTAGTAAAACTGTAAAACTGAATTAAGCTCCCAAAACACTTGATTTTCTGTTTTCAGAAGAGTCTATTTGTCTGATGCCAGCTTTGTTTGAGACATTTTTTGAGTAGGCTAGCCCCTGTTCACAAAGAGTTACCTAATTTCTCTTTTTCAATAACATGTTCATCTCTTTGACTATCAGAAAGCAAGCAATTCCAACTTCTGAAAAACTATACTTAACCAAAAAAAAAAGGCCCTTCAGAAAAGGCCCTTCAGAACAGTGTTTTGCAGACTGAGTCCAGTTTGCCATAAATAAGAATGGTCTTCAGATTTCACCCAGCTCTGATCTGCTTGAAGCTTTTGCGTCTGGCCAAAACACAGTACATGTCTTGGGAAAGAATCTATTACAATTTGAATGTGGTTAGAACTGTCATTCCCTAATCCAGCCCTAGCCCTGGAAGCCTTTAGTTTCTTGTTTGTTCTGGCTCGTATTAAAAAGCTCACCATCTTGCCTTAGAAATTGGTATTTTGCTCTAATTTTCAAGTGGATTTTAAAATTTAAATAAATTAGCATGCCAACTCGTGTTTGTTTTCCAGTCCCTACTAGTGTGATCACAAGTAGCTCTACCACATCCATGCTCAGTTTAGTTACTGCCCTGTAAGTTGTGTGTCTCTTCTTATCTGGGATTAGCTGGTGCATTGTTTTAGCTGTTCACTGCCTGACTGTGCTGGAGTCAGTACAAGTAGATAGTTTCTGTTGGTTCCTCACCTCTTTGGTTATTCCTTACATCAGGCATAAGGTATATCCCTGTTTTCCCTTTGTGCATGCTATTAGCACAGAGGTAGGAGACCGGGACTTTTGTACTAGGGACCTGCAAGTTACTTCATCTGCTGTGCATAAATAGCTTGTCTCAAAGTACATGTGCTGACCAGTGATGGGCAGGAGCAAAGATCACGTCTGTGGTTGTGTCACTGTACAAGTATTTCACTGTTGCTCAATGACCTCTTATTTGCTGATGGTAGAGCTAGCTGCTTAACCACAGTTTTTAAATATTTGATGTAAGAACAAGGAAAACCTCTGGAATTTTCTTCTTTCCTACAATAGTTTTTTCTAGGGAATAAGTATTGCTGTGAAGAGAAATCAAGAAGAGGACAGTGATACCAAAGAAATGCAATTAATGTAGAACAGGAGGTGGATTTATGATAAGACGACATAATGCAGTGGAGACAGAATTCAAATAAAAGATTCATAACAGCATGAAATGTAAAAGAGGATTATATTTAGAAAGACCATGTTGTCAGTCCTGTTTTAACATACATGTTTAATGTCTGACTCTAATGTACTGCATTAAGCCTAGAAAATCCTCAAACAGTATGTGCATTAACTATTGAATCACTTGAATGTGAACCTATGTATTTTATTTTTGATCAGTGCTATTCAGTCCAGGGCTTACAAATACAAATAGATGTCAGAGAAGTCATTGCCAAATCATGGTTTGTAACGCAAGCCATACAATAAACTTTCTCCATTTTTTTAAGATGGTGGTTCAGTCAGCTTTCCCAAGTATCTGTCTGTTTTTTGATTAAATCTATCTGCCCTAATAACTGATAAGATCTTAATATTCATTTTTAAACAGCTGATGACATAAAGCCATGCCCACGCTGTGCTGCTTATATAATAAAAATGAATGATGGAAGCTGCAATCATATGACTTGTGCTGTCTGTGGCTGTGAATTCTGTTGGCTTTGTATGAAAGAGATCTCAGATTTACACTATTTAAGGTACGTTGAAGAAAAAAAGATCTGTACGGTTGGTAACTTATTTTTTCAGGTTATATAAAAGTACATTGCTATGTGCTGTAAGTCTGGCCTTCTTCCTGTTGTAGTAGAGCATCAAAGTTGAAGTATCTATATCTGAGAATACGTTAGTTTTCAGTGCAAGTATTTAAAAGTCAGTGCACTGTTATTCTTATAAAATATTTTTCTAAGTTGCATGTGTACAGTGTGTATGTTGTAGAACAAATGGTGTGTTATAGATGAACATATTCTTACTGACCTCTTGGTACTGCTGTACTGTATTCATATAAAGCTACACAGCAATTCTGATTATGTTACGTTACCTCTGAATGACAGACTGGGTGTGGTAACATGCAATATGCTTTCCTTTGCATTTCAAAATCTGCTGCAAAGCCTCTGTAAAAGTCTGAAGTGATAACTGATGTTCTGAGGTTCAAGTGACAGATACCAGAACAATAGTTTTGTAACTAGATAGCAGCTAAGTACTGTGTAGTTGTGTCAGTTTGCTTACAAGTTCTTTACAGTTTTCCTACTTCTGTCTTAGCCCATCAGGTTGCACGTTTTGGGGAAAGAAACCATGGAGTCGTAAGAAGAAAATACTGTGGCAACTAGGGACACTTGTTGGAGCTCCTGTAGGAATTGCATTGATAGCTGGCATTGCTATTCCTGCTATGATTATTGGAATTCCTGTGTATGTGGGACGGAAGGTAAAATACTGTGTTCAGTTGGTCGTCTTCACCAGGAGAGGGGGGCTGGGGAAAAGATTGCTTAAGACTGATTTCAGTTGTGCTTTTATGTAGTTAGTCATAAAACAGGTAGAACGACACACTGAAAGAGGATTTCTATATTTTGCCATTTTACTTCGTTATTTTAATCTCTAGTTTCCATTGTGTCCATTAGAACTGAACAATCTTTAGAAAGAGGGAAGGAAAAAAGAATCCCTTTTTTTATAAAGCAATGGAGCTGAGCTTTAATGCTGCTGAGTTAAATGAAAGAGTGATTCTCTTTGTGTAACTGTAACTTGTCTTTTTCTCAACACCGTGCTATTTTGATTTCATGTACAACAAAACCCATACCCATTTTCACAGTAGTCATGCTTTGCTCTCCTCCTGAGGTAAGTCATGCACCCATTCCTGTTGTAATGCATCCAGTTCTTTCGGCCCAATTCCTCAAGACTAGTATGAGTTTTGGCATTTTTGTAACTCTGAAAAAGTTGGTTGTTTCTTCCATCCTTCTTCTAAGTTAATGAAAATATTGAATACATCACTTGAAAGGGATAGAAGGGGGAGAAGTTACAGTTTGGGGAGTAATAAGTAAATCTGATGGTTTTCTGTCAGCTTCACATGAAGGTAATAGTTGCTTCTCTAGACTATTTTCAGTCTTGGCCATTATAACCAGGTTGAGTGCCATGTAAGAAAACTTTCAAGTCTCTGTGTGATATCTGCTTCTCCCTATCATCTTGGCCAGTTATCCTCTCACCAAAGAAATTAAAACAGACGTGATCTCCACTTGAAAAAATCTATGGTCTCTTTATTTCCTGCTTTTGCATTGGTGTCTCTTAAGTTTCTGGTTTTCAGGAAATTGAAGTTTCATTCATTGGCCTTTAATTCTGCAGGTCCTTGTTTTGTACCTTTTTAAAAAAAGATTATCATTACAATTTAACTTCTTCCAGTTTTTTTTCCCCTCAAAGATACTCTATGAATAATGTTTTTCAGAAATCTATTCTTAGTGGCTCTGAAGTTGGGCCTGCTTTTTCAGATCAGCTCATGCGACTGTGCTCTAACCTGCTGTTTTCCTGCAGATCTCACTCCTTTGTCACCTGGCTCACAGTAAATCTTTGGTGACATCTGAAGGAAAAAAGAATGGAACAAGCCTCTAGTTTAATCTGCTGGCTGTCTTTCCTTTCTGTTAAATAGCAAATTGATTTTTGTCTTCCTCTTGCTGGCATTGTACTTGTAGAATAACTTCCTGTTAGCTTTGTCCTTTCCTTTTTTGTCTCCTCTATTTTAACCTTTCTGATTTTTGTCTTGACACCCTCATGCTGTTCCTTTGTACCCATTGAAAGTAATCTGACCTACTTTCCATTTTTTTAACATTACTTCTTCAGTAGAGGAAGCTATTTTGTTCTTCTGCAACATTTTCTTCTGCACTGGCAGAGTTTGTGCTTGTCTTGCTATAGCTTCTGCTCGGAAGCACTCATTCTCGCTCATTTTTATAGATATGCATCTAGTAATCTATCACTTTTCTGCTGTTATTGAAATCTCTCTTATTTTGGCCTAATGTTTTTATTTGGGCATTCTTTGCTCAGAATTCTGAAGTCTCTTACCAGTGTTCACTGAATCAGAGAATGGCTTGGGTTGAAAGGGACCTTGGGTATCATCAAGTCCCAGCCCCTCTGACATAGGCAGGGTTGCCAGCTGCTAAATCAAGTACTAGATCAGATTGCCCAGTGGCCTTAAACATCTCCAGGGATGGGGCATCCACAGCCTCTCTGGGCAGCCTGTGCCAGCACCTCACCACTCTCTCAGTAAAAAACTTCCCCTTTATCTAATCTAAATCTCCTCTTCTTTAGTTTAAAACCAACTCCCTGTTGTCCTGTCACTATCTATCCATGTAAAAAGTTGGCTTCCTTCCTGTTTATAAACTCTCTTTAAATATTGGAAGTCCACACTGAGGTCTCTCTGTACCCTTCTCTTTTCCAGGCTGAACAAGTCCTGTTTCTTCAGCCTCTCTTTATAGGAGTTGTGCTCCAATCCTTGGAACATCTTCGTGGCCCTCTTCTGACCCTCTCCAAAAGCTCCACGTGTTTCCTATGTTGGAGGCTCCAGCTTGCCTCACGAGAGCAAAATAGAGAGGGACCATCACCTCCCTTGCCTTGCTGGCAACTTCTGTTCTTGATGGCCTTCCAGGCTGCCAGGCTGGGCAGTGCACGCTGCTGGCTCATGTTAAGTTTTTCATCAATCAGAACCCTAAGTCCCCAGCAGGGCTACTCTCAAGGAGTTTTTCTCCCAGTCTGTATACATATCTGGGATTACCCTGACCCATGTTCAGAACCTTGCATTTTGCTTTGTTGAACCTCATTAGGTTCATGTGGACCCAGCTTTCGAGTTTATCAAGGTGCCTCTGAATGGCATCCCTTCCATCTACTGTATCAACTGCATTGCCCAGCTTGGTGTCATCAGCATACTTGATGAGGGTGCTCTTAATCCCATCATCTAAGTCACTGGTAAAGATCTTAGAGAGTACCAGACACAAGATGAACCCCTGAGGGACACCACTCATCAATAACCTCACCTGGAATCCACAGTCCTCTGGCTGTGACCTTCCAAGGAGTTCCTTATCCACCAAATAGTCCACCATTCAAATCCATGTCTCTCCAATTAAGAGATAAAGATGTGGTGGGGGACCATGTCAAAGGCCTTGCACAAGTCCAGGCAGATGACATTGGTCTCCTTTCCTTTGTCCATCGATGCCGTCACTGCGTCATAGAAGGCCACCAGATTGGTCAGACATGACCTTCCTTCGGTGAAGCTGTGCTGGCTGTCTTGGATCACCTGCTCATCCCTCATGTGCTGTAACATCTCTTCCAGGAGGATCTGTTCCATGGTCTTCCCAGGCACAGAAGTTGTTACTCTGTGTTTTTTAAGAAATCCAGACTGCTTATGGATTCTTTTTTTGATGTGTTACTTTTGTTTGGGTAAAATTGCCCATAATAGTAAAATTTAGTTCAGGGAAGGATACTGCTAATGGCTCACAGAGTCCCTTAACACCAAGTCTTCCTGGGCTTGTAACTCCTACACACTCATGCTGTGAGAGTATTCATTTTTTTTTCTTGTTAAGCTACTACCTACATGCTTTCCAGGTATGTTCCACACTCATGTGCTCCCTCACTCAGTGTTGTTCTCTGTATAATGTACTCCAGAGCAAGTACATGCATTCTCTTTATGTAGAATCACAGTGTTTTCTATTCCTTTTCCTTGCCTGTCTTGCCTAAATGCAAGTTCTTATTTTATTCCAGAGTGAGAACTATCCTAGCAAATTTAACATTTAATTTACAGAGCACAACACATTATAAAACTTAGTTCTGCTTGTGTTGTTATTCTTGTTGCAGTGGCAGTTTGATGTAAAAATAATAATAATAATAATACTGTGATTATCCTCTTGTTGTTCTTTGCTCTTCCTTAGATATACTGAGAATTAACTTAGCATGATGCCAAGAAAGAGATCTGCTGATCATTTGTAATTTTGTCTTAACCAAGAGTTCTGACAGACAAAGCATCATGCCTAAAATGCCACTTTCTTAGGGAGAATTAAATAAAAATGAAGTAGGAAATCTCTGCAAAACAGTGATTTTTGAAGGCCTTCCAAATTCATGATTTGCTGCAGTTGAGTTTGAAATGGTTGTATTTCAGAGTTATGGCAGACCTAAACCATCAGTAAGGGTTTGGGTTAGCAGATCCTTCTGAGGAGGATCTCCTGATCTGAGACTTCACAGTGCTATTTGCTGGTTTGCTGAAATAGTCTCTTACTCAATGGCTTGTCATGAGAGGGTGCCAGAGCAACGGAGTTCTCACTCTCCCTCCCTTTAGGTTATGTTTGGTGAAGGCTGCCTTACTGCAAGATTTGCATGCCTCTGGTGTTTCAATCTGTGTTTCCATAGGTCTAATTATCTGTGAAAATTTCACTTCATACTGTTTGGGGGAAAGACGACAGGGAATGGGAAGTGTCAATTTGCTTGGAGGAGGCAATGCTTTGATCTTCAAAATTGTTTACTTTTCTCGACCATGTAAGCTAGAGTCATGATTCAACAAATAAACAACAACAACAAAAGCTTATTAGTGAGTTAGCTTTCTTGAGGCTGAAATTAAACACTTAGGAGCTGAATTGGAGGGCTTCTAAATTCTAAGATAAGACATGCCTAAATTAAGATGTGTAAGAATTTTCTTCTTAGGTGTAAATCGTGGCATAGAATGTAGTCTGTATGGAAGAGAGCAGGATATGGATTCCAAATTGTCAGTTTTTCCATCATTGCATTATTGATTATTGTAATGCCCTATAAACCCATTTTCCTCTTCTTTCAAGATTCACAATCGATACGAAGGCAAAGACATTTCAAAGCACAAGCGGAACCTGGCGATAGCAGGTGGTGTAACCCTGTCTGTAATTGTTTCTCCAGTTGTAGCTGCAGTAACTGTAGGTAAGCAAATATTATTATTTTGTATATTGGTTACACCTTGCAACCAGAGTTGCGTAAGCACTCATGAATAAACGCTCAGCTGAGATAAGTCTTATGGTTTCCTTTTGCAGGTACGGAAATCAAGACATAAAAAAAAATGAAAAACAACACACAAGGAGTGTGGTTACACATTTATTGGGGTAGAATGGAGGATAGAGTACTTTGGGAAACATGGCATAAAATGAAGAGCTAATTATTTTTATCTTGCAAATTGAAGTTGTCACATTGTCATCTGTCTTAAAACTGAAATATGTAGAGCTTCTTCTAAATAACTAAGACAAAGCTTTTGCTACAGAGTCTATTCATATTCTAATAATTTAAATAATTCCTAACAAACTTTCCTCAACACAGAAGAAAAACAGTATTTTAAATTCAACATTACAGTAGTTGACAAACTATAGTACAATACCAGTGACTTTTTATGGCTGGAGTCTTTCATTTAGGTTAGACTGAGGAGCCTTTGCACTGGGTCTGTGTCTTTCCTGGCTCTTTCAGAAAGTGCCAGCTTTGCCGTTTTTTGTACCTTCTGTGGGCTTGCAGCAGCAATTTACACATTTACAGCGAAGAAATAACTTTCACAGTCCATTAAAAGTGGTGGGATAAACATGCACATAATGTATGTGTTTTAGCCTGTGGCTTCTTTCACTGTTTTCCCTCTGCTCCTTGCCCCCCAGAATTGTTTACATTTAAGGAAAAATTGTATGATTAAATTCTTAGATGGAATCTGCATGATACAGCAAATACGAAAGATCCAACAGTAGTAATGATGGTGAGGCCCATAAAATCAATAGCAAAGCCCCATCTGATTTCAGTGAATGCAAAGTCCAACTGAATTTATAGGAATATAAAGTATGTTCTTTTTTTTGTCTATAAAAGAAGTTATAGACATTGGAAGTAGTAATTCATCCAGCAGTGTGCTTCTCTGCCTTCCAGTTCTGAGACGGGGCCCTTGTGCCCAGTGAAAGTACTTTTGCTGTCACTTCACTTGATTTATCAGTATTTCTTACTTTTGTTCTCCCCTAGTTTCTTTGAAGCCTGAAATGCTAAGTAAACGTCATTCTATGAAATCACTTTTATAAGAGAGTGCAAAATCTGAGTTGCATTTAGTTAACTCAAGATGGTACCTTCCTCTGCAGGTATTGGTGTTCCTATCATGCTGGCCTATGTGTACGGAGTTGTGCCGATCTCCCTCTGCCGAAGTGGAGGCTGTGGTGTTTCAGCAGGCAATGGAAAAGGTGTTAGGATAGAATTTGACGATGAAAATGATATAAATGTTGGTGGAACAAATGCAGCTGTAGGTAAGATGATGTTCTATTTTCTGGACTTTGTGACTTACTTATATTTGATAGGCTCAGATACCCAAAGTACGTACTTGCAGAAGAGGTGCAGCATGGTCAGGGCTGTCTCCGCTCTGTGCTAAAAGATGAGCTCTGAGGTGAGAGAGTAGCTTCTGTGTTCATGTTGTGCTGTGCTGTAGTACAGCACTTGCTCATGTGGACATAGAGCAAGACAGTCAGCTGTCTTGTGGTTTGAATTCTGTGTAAGCTGTTGTCCTGCTTTTTGCACAGCACTAAGTAAAAGGTGACAGCTTTCTCATTCTTGACTAAGGTTAAATGTCATTAAGTGACTTTCAGGCAATAAAGAGTGCTGTTGTCTTATTGTTCCTTTTAACCAATCACTGAAGCAACTCTTTGAATTTTCTCTGAAGCTGGCACGCTTTAGTTCCTTAGAATCCAGTCGTGCAGTTTGGTCAGCATGACTGAAAGCAATCTGAGAATCCCACTGCCATTTCACCTCCTTTCTAATGGTCAGCAAGATGCCAAAAGTGCAGAAATGCAGGACAGTGAATCTGCAACTTAATCTTATGTTAAAAATGATTGTGTTCATTTATTAAGAAAAAAAAGTATCCCCTTTTAAAAGTCATTTATCAGAATACTAATTCAAAGCAGTGATGCATTAAAGCTTTATTTGCCAATTTGAACCAAAACCAGACTAATGCAATGGCAATCCCATAGGTAAAAATTTTAAGAAAATCAATTCTGCTTTTTCAGAATACTGGTTTGTAGAGGCTTGCTGCTAGCTTTCCTCTTTTCATGTAGAATGGGAAGAATTAAATGCATTTAGTTGCTGATGTGGTGCTGCTATTTTTTTAAATTACTTGATGATATCATTTGATACTGACTTTCTGTAATCTTTGACTCCATGTTACGTGCCCCACCATGGATAACTTTTGGATATCCTTGGTATGTCATATCTGATACAACCATAACAGCAACTCCAAGAAAGGTCCCATTTTCTTTGAGAGTTATCTTTTTGTCACTGTATTTTATAAATCCTTTTTCTCAGCGTAACTTCAGAAACAATTTCCATGGTCATGTTCTAGAAATCAGCAAATTCTGTTTCTATGAATGACAAGCCTTCCTTCTTCCTTTCTGTCTTAGATACCACTTCAGTCGCAGAAGCACGTCACAACCCCAGCATAGGCGAAGGAAGCGTTGGTGGGCTGACTGGCAGCTTGAGTGCCAGTGGCAGCCACATGGATAGGATAGGAGCCATTCGAGACAACCTGAGTGAAACAGCTAGCACCATGGCGCTGGCTGGGGCCAGTATAACGGGCAGTCTCTCGGGAAGTGCAATGGTTAACTGCTTTAACAGGTAAGAGACATTCTTGCTGCTGTATAGCACCCAGCCCTGAACGTAGCATAGAATCATAGAATGGCCTGGGTTGAAAAGGACCATAGTGATCGTCTAGTTTCAACCCTCCTGCTAACACAGCCATGTTCTCTAATGGGAGAGCTCTCTGTGTGCATCTCACGCTGACATCACGAGTTCTGACTTGTTCAGAAGGGAGCCTACGGAGGGGAGGGGAATCAACTCTTTGAAAGGGTAGATAACTGCAAGACAAGGGGAAATGGTTTTAAGCTGAGGGAAGAGAGATTTAGGTTGGTTGTCAGGGGGAAATTCTTTACAGAGAGAATGATGAGATGCTGGAACAGGCTGCCCAGAGAGGTTGTGGATGCCCCGTCCCTGGAGGTGTTCAAGGCCAGATTGGATGGGGCCCTGGACAGCCTGGTCTAATATTAAATGGGGATGTTGGTGTCCCTGCATGTGGCAGGGGGGTTGGAGATTCATGATCCTTGTGGTCCCTTCCAACCCTGGCCATTCTGTGATTCTGTGAAGTACAGAATTGCCCCTTCTGAACACCTTGGCCTTGCCTCAGTGTCTGCTGTGAATTGGGGTCTCCCTGTCCATAGGAGACAGGGAGTATCTGGAAAGGATTGTGTTGGGATGCTCCTTAAGAAAATGAGTAGTGTTCAGCACCTCATTTAAATAGCTTGCAGGTCTGGGCTATGTAGAAAAAGGAGGGCAGGGTAGCACAGAGATCTTCCTTAGTCTAGAGCTGTGACTGCTGGCTGAGGTACACCTGTCCTCCTCTTGAAGGAGCTGAGAGAGGAAAGCAAAGCAAACACCTCCAGTTCACTGTCAGAACACAGATAAAGAAAGCGTTTGGAAAGAAGCTTATGATCCTGGTTCATCTGTTTTCAAGTTTCTGTTATTTCTGTTGAAATTGATAACAGTACAACAAAGCAGAGTACAGAACACAGTTCTCTGACTGTTATTTGATAAGTCATGATTTTGCAGCTGGATCAACATGGAACTGTTGTGAATTTGTGTGTCCTTTTGATTGTTTTCTCTGTTTTTGGAGTACGGTACATTATCTGTGAAGGAATTGTAGCTCAGCTTGGAACTCATTTTTGTAACTCTCAGGGAGGAAATAACCCAGAAACTCCATTTTGTGTGCAACATTTTACTTTGTTGGCAATTTCATCTAATTTTGTTTTTAACTGTGAAACTGTGCTTACTGTTGTGTGGTGGAGAAACTTTACAAGGTGATAGTAATTCTCAGCTAGGGTGCTTTAACTGTAGTAGCAGCTCATGCAGCCCTTTTTCTTTCTCTCCAAGGCTGGAAGTACAAGCAGATGTGCAGAAAGAACGCTACAGCCTCAGCGGAGAATCTGGTACAGTTAGCCTGGGAACAGTTAGTGATAATGCCAGTACCAAAGCAATGGCAGGATCCATTCTCAACTCCTATATCCCTTTGGACAGGTAAGAGAAATGTGAAAAGAGAAGATTAAGCCTTACTTACTAAAGGATCCCTAAGCGTGCCTCTGCAGTTCTGTTTAAAACTTTGATGAAAGAAACAATTTTTTGCTTAGAAATTGGATTACATGTGATTGCTTGTATTTGCCAAGCTTTCTTCCAAAGAGGAGAACAATCTCTGTAGCTCAGTTTCATTTTCAGACTGTCTGCTACTGTTTGGGCCGTTTACTAGGTTAAATGCTTTTTCCAAAATGGGTGACATTTCTCTCATTTGCTTTTGCAATGTATTTTGAAAAGCTGCAGGAGTTTGTTCCGCTGTATTGCCTGGCTTGTTTTGGATAACTGCTTACACCCAGGCTCATTCTTGTTGCAGGGAAGGCAACAGCATGGAAGTGCAAGTGGATATTGAATCAAAGCCAGCCAAGTTCAGACACAACAGCGGAAGCAGCAGTGTTGATGATGGCAGTGCTGCAGGTCGGAGCAATGCTGCGTGTTCATCGGCCTGTGTGCCAGAAAGTAAATCTAGTGCCACCAAGTGGTCCAAAGAAACAACAGCAGGAAAAAAATGTAAGGGTAAGCTGAGAAAGAAGAGCAGCATGAAGATAAATGAGACGAGAGAGGACATGGATGCTCAGCTGTTGGAACAACAAAGCACAAACTCCAGTGAATTTGACTCTCCCTCTCTTAGCGATAGTATTCCATCCGTAGCAGATTCTCACTCGAGTCATTTTTCTGAGTTCAGTTGCTCAGATATGGAAAGTATGAAAACTTCCTGTAGCCACGGTTCCAGCGACTATCATACTCGCTTTACCACAGTCAGTGTTCTCCCAGAGGTGGAAAATGATCGCTTGGAAAACTCTCCACAGGTGAGCGGAATCCCCATGCCTGTTGCAGCAGCCTCAGGCACTGATGTTCAGCAGCTGAGTTACATTGCCGAGGAAAGCATTACTAGTGGATCTTCAACAGATGTAGGTCTAGGTGTTGATGAAACTCTGAAAGAAGCAAACAACAACCATGCACAACGTGCTGCGGAATTAAGCACTGCTATTCAGACTGAAATTTAAGCCAAAAAATGCTGCAAAAACATATTTACCACTAATGAACCCTGTCTGAAAGCTGGTTTAATTACATGCAACGGCTTCCGTAAGCTTCAGGTGACCGGCAGAAGCAAGGTTTTGATACAGCTGCATTTTATATACCTGTCTGTTAAGGCAGAATACTTCATATGGATCTTAGAGCTGTGTGAAGGGACATGAAGGCTTTAACAAGTGCATTACAGCAGTACAAATACGTCCGTGTTTTTTATTTTTGCCACAACTTTGCTTGAAAGCATATACTTGGTGTATTTAGATAAAAATTGGGTAATTCTTGATATGTTAAATGCTAAAATAAGTAATACATCCTGCACTGTTCGCTCAAAAAATAGGGGATGTGGGATAAATGGGTGTTAGCTGAGCATTAGTGACTTAAAACCATTCTAGCGTGAACTCGAAGGGAAGCAGAAGTTTTGTGGAGACCTCTACAAACATCTCTCAGCAGTGAATATCCATAGTGATCATTTTGTTTTATAACTGGGCACACTATTTGGAATGCATGTGGAATGGATCGCGTACCTCCAGGTGATGTGGCCCTGTGTCAGAAGTGTTCATGTGTACACTATGAGCGAGGCTACGGCGTGTTACGTCATTTAGAAGCTGAAGAAATTGGTACTTGATACGTGGTGGAATGGAGGCGTCACCTGTGGACAACAGTGGGGTCGCTTATTTATTCACGCAACCAACCGTGCGGCAGATAAGGCTGCTCTACATTGTGTAAAACCTGTAAGATAATGATCCAATGATTTATGAGCATTGTAGTAAAGCAGATGCAGTCACCTTTCATGAGGGGGGAAAGCGGTGCCCCGTCAAATCTTGGTGCCTTGGAAAAGACTGGGTGTGAAGTGCCTGGTCGTTGGAGGATTTGTCTGTCGTGTTTTCCAGAATGTCCTCTTTGGCCACCTTCAAACACAAAAGAAAATCCTAGTGAATAAATGACTGGTAGATAACTGTATGATAACAAAGTATTAGCCTACCAAAGACTCACTCAGGCTTTCGTGAATGACTTCTTTCACGTGACATCTCTTTGCAAGATGTGCATCTTCAGTCCCAGAGTCGGAGTGCAGGGCAATGGCTGCCCAGCTGTCACGATGGCTTCTGGACATGCTGGCTTATTTTTCTTTTGCGCATGGAAGATGTACAGATAAACAAAAGCTGAAGTTGGCCAAAGCGCCTGCACTGTCCAATGTTTTTTTCTTTTTGCTATGTAAATCACTAAAAATGAGGGGAAAAAAAGTTGTGAATATCAGAAAAAACAGTTACCAATGTTCTGTCTTGTGTTCAATGTATTGCCATTATGGTGCTACTGGGAGTTGGGTTGGATGAAAAGAAAACGCCATGTGCTGCAGTTCTCTTCCATGACTTATCCTCACCAGTTTCATTAAATGCTTATAACACTAGTGCCAGTTACGTCATTTGATAATGCTTGTTACGGTATTTGTATATTTGCAATTCAGTTTCGCTCAGTAATATGCGTGTAAACTGCATATCTGAAATAAATGTCTAAGTACTGAGTTGGAGTGGTCCTGTCAGCACGCGGACGGCCTTATGGAACGCATCGGATCTCAGGCTGCTCTCTGGCTCCGACTGCTGGCATCTTCTGTTGCCCCACATTTGGTGTTTGTTTGGTGGCCTTTGGGGTGGAGGTCTCTGGTGTTTTGAAATGTTTCCAATGGTGGATGTTTAAGGAGAGAATAGAAATGAGGATGAATGGAACCGACTGTATCCTAGAAATGGCAGTGAGGCACAGGGGCAGTTCTGTCTTTGAGTGCTCTGAATTGGAAGCAGGTGTGAATTCTGAATTTAGTGGGAAGGTTTGAATTGGGTATTTTTGGGTGTGTGCGCACTTCATTCTGAATTTTCTTTTTTTCCTAGTTTGAACAGTTTTACAATACTCTGTTATTAATGAGTGATGTGTTGAAATAGGATCAGCATTAACTAAACATTTTATTGTGCCCCATTTTGGGCTCTCCAGCTCAAGGAAGACAGGCAGCTACTGGAGAGAATCCAGCAGAGAGCTACAAAGATGATGTGGGGCCTGGAGCATCTCCTGTATGAGGAAAGGGTGAGACCTGGGGCTGCTCAGCCCAGAGAAGGGAGGACTGAGAGGGGATCACATCAGTCCTTGTGTCTGAAGGGTGGGAGTCAATTAATTGGACAGGGCCAGGCTCTTTTTGGTGGTGCCCAGCAACAGGACAAAGGACAGTGGATAGAAAGTAGAACATGAGAAGAGCTTCTTTACTGTGAGGGTGACAGAGCACTGGAGCAGGCTGCACACAGGGGCTGTGGACTCTCCTGCTCTGGAGATACTCAGAGCCTGCCTGGACACTCTCCTGTGTGACTGCAGCAGGGAGCTGCGGTACCAGGGGGTTGGGCTGGGTGGTACCCAAAAGTCCCTTCCAATCACTACTATTCTGTGAAGCATTTACTTTTCATCTCAATACCAGTGCAGAAATCCTGATGCAATTTTTCAGGCCTGTGTAGAAGCTCTCTGTAATGGAACTGAAATATTAACTGATTCCTTTAGGCAGGAGGATGAATTTGGAGAAAATTGCCACCATCTCAGCTGAACCACTCATGGTTCTGTTCCGTGCCACATGCAGTCCAGCTGGTGGTGTACTTCAAAGCCACACTGTTTGTAAATCTTGGAGTAAGTTCAATTTCTGCATGATCTCCTGTGACCTCTGCCAAGGGCTGCCTTAAGCCAGAAGTTCTTTGCTCCTTGCTGTAGAACAGGAGCTGTGAACATCCCCTTTGGCATCTGGTTCAGTTGTTTTGAATCTGCCTTGTGCAATAGCAATAAAGTTGTTGCAGCTCTGAAAGTGCTCCTTTTGGCTTTTTCCACTCTGTTTGTGGAATGATGAGAGCATGCCGAGGGGCAGTGATGCCACCTGATGCTTGCAGCTGGGAACTGGAGCTGCATTTTGTTCTATGAATTTAAACCTGACTTAATCTCTCAGTACCTCAGTTTTGCTGTGCAGGAAATTGAAAATATATTATTTCTTTTTTTCCTGGTGAAGAAGCTTTATCAAAAGAATGTATAGTTTCAGTCGCTCCAAAATAATCTTTGGTAATTTTATATTCCACATTAAAGCAGTTAATAGAGTTGCAAAACTTGTTTTAGCAGAGCACTGTACTGCTGACTCATTTTGTATCTCTTCATATGTGACGCAGTCCAAACAGTGCTGTCTCATACATTTTAATCTTACAGTGGCATTGAAATGTTTTGAGTCTATAAAAGAGCAAAGGCTCTATTAGTGTATTGATGGAAGGTGGTGTAGGTTTATTGAAGAGAAGATGACAGTGTGGAGCCATTCAGGGATGCTGGGGTGGGTGTGTGGGTTGTGCTGGTTGCAAGAAAGATAAAGGATATTAACACAGGTAGTAGCCTGGGGGAAGTGGGTGTTACACTGAATGAGGAGTTTCCAGGTCATCTCGTGGAAGGGAGCAGAGTTGTGCTGTTGGGCTTGGCTGCAAGCCTGCTGCCCTGCTGTGCCCCAAAGCTGTCACATCAGGGCATGAAATGAGAAGCAGTGTAGGAGGTGGGAAGGTTTCTTGGAGGGCATGAAACCACCTCCTGAAGATGTGATTGGAAAAGATACTGAACCCAGTTCTGGCCAGAACACGTAGATCACTTTTTTGGACAAACTGGAGTTCAGCATATGGGAGCAGCCCCACATTGGGCTGTCACTGGGTGTCCTCTGCCACAAGAATGAGGCTGTGACAACACATCCGGCTCTGCTGCTGGGAGGGAACCCTGCGGGCTGTGTGCTGAGCAACTGCCCCCAGCCCTTGTCCTCCAATTCAAGTGAAGTTACTGCTCCAGTAGCTTCATGCACTGGATGGAGGTGGGCAGGCTACAGGGAGCCGGGCTCCTTCAGCTGCATCATGGCACAGTCGTGTGTGACTGAGTTACACGGAGGTTGGGTTGTGTGAGAAGCTCCTGCGTAACACCTGGGGTGCCACTGGAGGCTCCTGGCTGTGGCACCTGGCTGGATGCTGTGTGGGAGGCTGATCAGGTTATACCTGAAGTGCCTGAGAGCTGCTGGTGGCTCTGAGCCATTTCCTATGCTGCAGGAATGTTCCAGTTTCTGCTCCCCATCCTATGCCTTTGAAGATGTAGGGTTGTTTTGTTCTGCAAAATTTGCAGTGTCAATTAATCAGTGTGCCCCAAGGGAAGGAACTCTCTCTGATAGAGTTCAAGGATGCTGAAGGTGTGCTGTGAATAAGCACTGAGATATTGACCTGCTCTTAAAATCCAAAGACATGAGGTTCTGGCAGCAAGACCTGCAGCACCTGAATGAGCCTGGCTGTGCTTCTATAGCCATACAACAGCACACCCAGATCACCCCTCCCTGCTGTAGAAAAGGTAACTGCACTCTGCTTGCGCCTGTGACCACAGACAGCTGGCCCACCAACTGCAAGAGCAGCTGGAATGAACTCCCCTGGGTGCCACTGTGAGCAAGCTCTCATGCAGCGCAGGTGAGTGGATGTGCTGGAGAGCACACACACAGAGGGAGGAGTCTGGTCTCCAAGGCCAGCTGAGGGACAAGTCCTTGGTTGTCTGACCTGCTTGCTTCAGCCTGGTGCCAGCAGTGGTGTGTGCTACCTTGTGCTGAGGTTGAATCACAACTGCAGGCACAGAGAGTGAGCAGCCAGGACCCAGCACTGCTTTCCCTGGGTCTTATTGACTCAGCTTTACAACAGGGCCATTTCTGCATCCTGTCTCCAAAACAGACGTAAAATTCACAGCCACCTCAACTGGAAGTGTCTTTGTGGCCTAATAATACATCTCTGTACTCCTACGCACTGAATGGAGAATGTGTTTAATTCTAATGTGATAAAAGGGAGGAAATATCTGTTTGGTGGTTGTTTCTTTTTCTTTCCCTTTTCCTTTTGTTTTCTTTAGAGAGTTCTATGGTAGGAACAACTTCCATTGGCTTCACTGGTTCCAAGACCACTTGGCAGAGTGGTCCTTGAGTATGGCCTGTGCCAGCTTCTGCTGTCTGTGACACTATGAAGGAGTGAAAGGAGTGGTGGAAGGCCCTGGCAGAGACACACCTGATGCCACTCATCCCTCGTAGCACCTCTTGCCTTAAATATCCATTTACTTGGATACGACTTCACTAAAATTTCAAAAATATGTTGGAAGGGGCAAAATAACAGCAGTGTACCATGGCCTGCCCTATTCCCAACACAGCAGTCTTCCTTTAAGAGAAGAAAACAGCTTCTTCTCTACTTGCACTAAAACAAGGGATTCACATCCATGACCTAACCACTCACCACATGCTGGTTATTGTGCAGATACTAGATGATAATGTTTTCACTCTGCTGCTTGCTGTGCTTATTGCCACTCTGGGACTGCACTTCCCCTGGCCCCTCCTCCCACCGCAGCAGGCCAAGGTTAAGCTTTCTTCTTAGAGCACTCTTCCCCCATATCACTGTCCATTGAACAGAGACAGGCTAATGCTCATCTCTGCACTTTAGAAGACCAGCAAAGTGCTGATTATTCAGATGAAGGGACATTTGTTATTCAGTCTCTGCTGACTGCCTCTGAACTGCAGGGATACAAAGCTGTGACGGCAGCTGGTGGCAGCTGTCCTCTGCCAGCCGGATAGCGGGCTCATTTGTAGACAGTGCTGCAGTTCTTCATTTAGAACTTCTGCTCAAGAGGTAATTACAGCTGATCTCTGTCATTTCCGCTTCAAACTGAGTCTGCCTCTGTTTCATCTGACATTCAGCGTTTCTCTGATGCATTCGGGAAATTTTCTCACCATGACAGGAATGTAACAAGATTATTTCCATTGCTGGTTATAAAACAGGCTAGTTGTTCTGCCTACAGAAACAAGAAAATCTACCACAGCAGAAATATGTTTAATCAATGCAGTAAAGCTGTATTTGTACTATAGAAGGCAATATCATCCCATTTAGTAAAATAATTCAGTTTCAGTGGGCATTGTCTTTCTAAATACATAATGAAATGAATAAAACCAACATAAATACACTCAAATCTAAACTATGCACACATAGACTCATAGAATGGCTTGGGTTGGAAGGACCTCAAGGATCACCAGGTTCCAACCCCCTGCTACAGGCAGTGCTGCTGCCACTCATTGACTATTGGATCAGGCTGCCCAGCACCCCATCCAAACCCAGAACATACAAAGGTACAGTTAGAATGATTGAAATCGCCATCACAGAAATTAATGACCACCAATACCTGGCCCTTGCGAAGAATGAAGCAGCCAGACACTTTGTTGGCTCAGTGCAATTGGCTGTAGCTACAGAGCTCTCTCAGATACACAGCTGCCTCACAGGAAGAGGATGTTTAAGAAGAAAACCCATCAGTTGTGCTAACAGTGTTTTAGGAATTAAAAACTTCACTTTTGGTATTCTACTTCAAAACCAAACTCCTAAACCACGTCAGAACTATAAGCTCAAAGAGGGTAGAAGCAAAAGTAAGAATCCAGAAATTGTACTTTTCAGGAAAAAGACGTTTATTTTTTTAAATTAACCTGAGAAAAAATTTTGCTGGAACAACATCCTTAATGATACTTCTGCAGCACTTGTGAGTATGATAAAATTTATACTAAATGTGCAAAGAAGGCATTGGGCCATGTGAAAAGTTTTAACACTTCATCTTGAAAAAGGGAGCTTTGTCACAATGAAATATAAAACAGAAGTACTGCCTGAAAGAAAACAAAAACCCTACTGGTCCACTAACTAGCCTTAGTTTTAGCTTTATGAATACGTCTGTAAACAGCAATAGCTGGTATTTTAAGTAATCTGATTACAGACTCGGAGTTAAACATTTTAATTGTTAGATGCAGCCGTTTGTTCCTTTAAAAGCTGTGCAAACCAGCAATCCTTCCACGCACACAGAAAACAAAATTCTCTGTGCACTACAACTTACTCGTTTGTCATTTAAAAAATGGACCCATTTAGTAAATAATTAATTATTTTGAGCCAAAGTGTTCCATGACAAGCTAATATATTATTCATTCATCTTTGTACAGCACCAAAAATATTTACATCTGTTTTGTACAGGCTGGGGGGGCGAAGAAACAGATGGGCTGTGCAGTTTATTTGAAAAATGTTTATACTTGTAAATTTTTTATAGCAAAGCTATCGCTAACGGACCCGTTTGTCTTGAAGGTGCTTCCTAACCACATACAACCCACAAGGTGATATAACAAGTGATGACTGAAAGCGTACTTCTATTGTACCACCAAGGTATTTCATGCTCTATATAAATGCAAAATAGATATTTCCATGTCTAAACAAAATCAGGATGCCAAACACGAACTCCATAACTGAACACAAAGACATGCATTGAATTCTAGACTAAAATTGTATACAACTAAAAAGAAAAAAAGAGCAGCAAGTTTTAAATATGTGTATGCTGTCAAAATAAGACAGAATTCAGACAGTCCATGTAGAGACCCACTTCAACCCATGCGTGTTTACAGAGTTTGTACAGACATCTTTTACAACCGACAACTCTAAAACTCTAACCACAAAACAAATAAACTTTAAGTTTTAAAGTTCATACACCTTTTTAAGGCTGTCAAGTTCTTCCAAAGAGTATTGATGATTCTGGTTTTCCATGAGCAAATCAAACAGTCGCTGAACCTGTTCTTTTTCATTTTTGCTGAGAAGAGCCAACACCACCTGAGAAAACAGTTTAGGTTATAGTCAGCACAAGCAACTGAAAATCATAGCATTTGACAGAAATATAGCTATCATTTCCTATTGAAATATGAAACTCCTAAATTTCTGTTTGATGTAAGTACTCATTTAACCTAAATTCTTACCTTAAATCTTTGTGCTTTGCTCAAGTAGAAAAGATGCTGATATACAAGGCCAGGATCTTTTCCAAGGACGTATTGTTCCAATGACTGGATGAAAATCAAAAAGATCTCTCCTTCAAGTTTGTTACTTAGCAGCATTGGCAGTTTTTTTGGATCAGTAATTGTTAGAAGATCTGCACAAGCAGACTGATCCTTATTGGCGTTCACTGCATTTACAATCTGACCAAAGTCATAGGCATTGGATGGTTCAGAAATCGTCAGTTTTTCACAGGTCTTTGATGGCACACTCTTCTGAACTGCTTCTTTAGAGCTAACATTGTCAGCCACAATATCTTCTGATGTCACAAGCTGCCCCTCTTCCTGTTCATCAGTTACCTTCACAAAAGAAATGGCATCAAATCATTAATTCCATCCATTGCATGTGTATATTCAACAATAACTAAATTAAAGCTGGCATTTTACTCTTCACAAAGGCTTCTGTTCATAAGCTTTACTCTTCATAAAGGCTACTACGTTCTTCTGTGTCCTTCTTCCCCCCAGAGTGGTACAACCCTTGTTTATCTTTAAAGGTTTCTTAGTCAAAAGTCTGTATTTTGTATTTCATTTCATTACTTGGCATTCCACTGTAGAAAGACAAAGGAAGCACACTGGGAGAGAGCTGGGGATAGAATACATATTCTAAATGTGAAGTTACACAACTTAAGCAGAAGTGAAGTTTAGTTTCCACATACTTTTCATTTACAGCTTTATTTCATTGTTTTCACTTCAGAATAGTACAGGCACAAAGCAGTTGCATCAGACTGCTGTTTATGGACTTGCTGTGGAAGTAGAAGGCTCATCATGGTCTAACTGCCTGCATTCCCACTTCTCCCCAGATTGCAAGCTGTACAGAGCTTCATCAATCAGCTGCTAGAAAATTAGCCTTGAGTTCCACTATCATAGAATCCCTAGATTTGGAAGGAACCTTTGAAGGCCATCTAGTCAACTCCCCTGCAATGAACAGGCACACCACAGCTAGATCAGGCTGCCCAGGGCTTGATCCAGCCTCACCTTGAAAGTCTCCAGGGATAGGGCATCAACCAACATCTTTGAACAACCTGTTGCAGTGCCAACCACATATACAACTACATAACTACTTTTACTAAAGTCCACTTCAAACTTTTAGGAGCTGTGGAGTCAGTACAAACCTACCAAAACTACTCACTGAACAGGGTCTCTCCAAAAGCTTCATGTCAGGCTTTTGGAAAAGTCTGAAGATGCAGCACTACACATGACACTGCTGTGCTGGAAGCAAGCTTAGTCATTCTGCAGGCATTGGGCTTATAGAGCTTTTGCTTTATTTTTAAATAATCCTTAGTATCAAGGGAGATATCTAGCTGTCTTCTATAAAATTATAGCTTGATTAAAATGGAATAATAATGATAAATCTCTTTCTAATTAAATTTTCCTTCATTTTCTTTGCAGACTGCTTTCTTGGCATTCCCATGTAGGTAAGACAAGGAATGCTGTCTTAAAGGGGCAGCCGCTATTACAACAGCAAACATCAGTGCTTCCTGCCCCAGCCCTGCAACAAATTACCACTGTTGGTAATGTAGTCAGCAGGTCTCCAAACACTGCATTCACTGCCCCGAGCTCCTTTGAACACTCTCAATCCCTCTGTCACAACTCACAGCTCAACTAACACTATTCCCAGCTTACACCAGTTACATAAAATCCTACAAACTTGTGAAACTGGGAAGTATATCAATAAAACAAGTTGCTGTGTTAGTAACCACCATTTCCATTACACCATCATTTTGAAATTGCACAATCCAAATTACAGCCTCAGTTTAATAGCATAGACTGGAAACTATATATTTTAAACAGGAAAGGGGAAAAAAAAACATTCTTAAAGGACCATCGTAATTACAATTGAAAACATCAGGTGACTGAGAAAATCCCTTCACGACTTAATTCAAAAAACTCTGGAAAGATATTATTTTGATCCAATGCATAATGTAAAAACATGCATTTCTTCTGCCAGACTCTGCATTTTTATCCATACCATTCGTTTCATCCTTCACACCAGTAGCTGTACTACCAGCACAAGAACAGCTGGCAAGTTGCTAACAACCTTTGCCAGAGGTTGCCAGAATAGCTCAGACTTCAAAAGCAAAACTCCTCTTGGACAGCCCTATTCTGTAAAATTACTATTTCAAAATCTAAGCAGCCTTTAATTACAAGGAGCACATGCTGAAGTTTCTTGCTGTCTAAATGTACATTTTTCACTTCTGCTGTGGTTCTGAATGCACCTCAGTGCATGCAAAGCTTTACTGCAGAACAGAGTGGATGATGAACACATTATATGTGAGCAACCTCCAATATGTTAAAAACACAACTCCGCCTAAAGCAGGTATAGAGCTAAGAATTAAAACCCAGATGCTTTGGTATTATGTTTTCAAATGTATGGCTTCTGTACTGCCTGCTTGTAAAAATGAACAGATGTACCTCTTGTATGGTTATTTTCTTCCTTTGCTTTTGTTGACAGTCAGCGACAGCAACGCTGGCAATGCTGAGCAGCTGGGTTATCTCCTCTAGTTCATTTTTTGCTTCAAGAACTTTTGGATCTATTAGAAGTAATTTCTTGAGATCATCGACACTGGCTTGATAGTTCTGTAAGTAAAAGGGAAAATATATATTTTTTTCATAAACACATCACAGGAAAAATAAATTACAATTATGGTATTGTCTTTTACTATTAAGAGAAATAGAAATGCTGAAATCCAGACATTAAATAGACAAAAATAATCTAAATGCAGTGTAATTTTTAAAGGAAGAAAAAAAGGAAGCCAAGGATGAGTTTGAATACTTTCTCACTAAATACTTTCATATTAAATATATACTATGAATTAATTTATGCTCTGAAAAATATTTCCCTGTATTAGAAAATAGATTACTGGAGATTGCTGCTTTTAAGCATAATTAACATTTTAATACCTTCTCAATGCAACTCCATCAACAGTTTGCATATTTTGACAGCAGGCCAAATTAAACTAAAATTAAAACTATGCCTTAACTTCCTGGGCATCATTGCAATAGCTCATCTCAAATGGGCTGACATAAGAAAATTCCTGGTTATACTTGGGAAAACTGAGATTACATGATGAATTCTAGGATAAACTACAGAAGGACCAATACAAAGATAGAGTGACATTAGGACACAATTCTTCCAGAATCAGTCTTGTCATTTATTTAATGCTTCCATTTCAAGATTTGACTTTCAGCATTCTGCATTTTTATATTAAATTTTCCGGAGAGACAATGTTCAGAGCAGTATCAGTTGTGAGGAAGGCTAAAATACCACATGGAATAAACCAAGTTACCCTGGGGGCTGAATACTGAAAATAAGGATAACATATAACAGCAGATAGTAACAGACTGCGCACAGAAAAGTGAGGGAGCCACTCAATCAGTGTCTTAAGGTTATTAAGGGTCATATTATCACAGAAAAGGAAAACAAACCCTAAAAACCCAATCCGCTGTTGCATCATCAGTTGACATCTTTCCTCAGCATCTTAACAGTTATGAAACCACCAGTGCAAAAGACAGACATTCTCTTTTCTACCCAGGATATTTGCAATACCAATTAATTGCATGCAAGGTGCAGAGAAATTGTAGGAAGTCTGTAAGTGAACCAAGGTTTGCTGTATCATGAAAGAAGAGTTAAAGAACCAGAATTTTGCAAACTGAATGCAGCAAGGGGACAGCTTGCCTTCTTATAGTATAGCCTTCTATAGTAGCAAACAGCTACTATTTGAGCTAACATTACCACAGAGAAATGAGGTTCCAGAACAGACTTCTGACAATGATCACAATGGTCAGCAAACAACCAGTCCTCCTAGGTTTTAAACTGCATCCTGGGCTATCAGGTGTAGGATGTATAGTCCAGTCCTATATCCTATGTTGTAGACCTAAATCAGCAAACAAGTACCATCTTTATCCTGATCTTTCCTTAACTATATTTCAGTGAGTGTATAAAAATCATTAAATTCCACTGCAGCTTTTGTGATGTAAATACTGATGTATTTATAAACAAATAACACCTTCCAGCTTACTTATGTCTTGACAAAATAGATGCATTTAGCTCTTACTATCTTTTGTTACAGAGTCATTTGTCAATCCCAGATCACCTGTGTTGCTTTCCCTAGTATTATGACTCACTCATCCCTGGCCGTAACGAAGGTATTACATCTGCCCCAAACAAACCATCTTGAGAGTCCCTAGGTGCTCAGTTTTAAAAGAATCCATGAGCACTGTGCCTCATGTTATGACAACAACTTCATTGTGCTGATGGAAAGGCAAAGGCTGAATCCCCACACTGCCCACAGAACGAGAAAGGAAATCACAAAGATTTCTAATGTGTTTGGAGAAGGAAAGTAGAAGAGAATGAAGATAATTAAAGTCCTGGTTTAATATGACAAGCACTCAAAAACGTGCAGATGGCAGATACCACAAGACAGCTTGAGATTTTAGTTTGAACAGATGAAGACAGACTTGAAGAGAATCTGTATGTAATCAGCTAAGATATAGTGAACACCTTGACAAAAAAAAAATAGACTGGGACACACAGCAGTAAACTAGAACATTCTAACAGTTTAAACCTGCTTAACTGCCTTTATTCAAAGCTTATTTATTCCAAAATTCCTGTCTTTTCTCAAATTATTGTAAATCAACGTGCAGATTTTTATGTTCAAAAAATATTTATATTCTATATATGCCTAATGCTTTACAAACTAATACATCATCAGCACTGCATACTTTGCTTATATTCATTGACTTAATTACCTGTTGATTGCCTTTGAAGAGGATAAGCAAGTTTAGAAGTACTTAAGAATACCTGCCATGTTCTTTTTCCTCACCTGTAATCCTTTGTATGCTAGTGCTCTTCTGTAAAAAGCTTTAATATTAGAATCTTCTATTTGAAGAACATGATCACAATCTTGCTTAGCCTCTTCATATTTATGCAGTTTCAAGTAACATAGAGCTCTAACACAGAAAAACAGAATACACTGCAATATAAGTAAATTCTAGTGTACTGTAATGCCCTCAGCATCTGACTCTCTGTAATGTTTATTACAGTATTTCACACAGTATCAATGTGCTGTTGTTGGTTTTCTTTTTCCTTACAGTACATCTGTTCTTCCTTAAATACATCAAAATCAGTAAGTATTAATGACATCACTTGATGGACTTAGAGCCAATTCCAGTTAAAATTCAGGTATGAATAATGCTTGAAGCTAAGCAGGTATACAAGTACTTTAAAAGCAGAGTCTATTTTTGCTTAATTTCTATGCAGCCACTCTGGGTAAAAAAATGCTCTACATTAAATAAGCAATATCATTTTCTGTACCTAATTATTACTTGAAGTATCCTATTCAGGTTTGGGCCTAGTAAAATCCTTCTTAGTTTGAGGAAGCTGACAGGATTACAGCATAAAGAATTATGCCAAAGAATTAGGTCAACCTTTAAAATAATGCTGCTGTCTGACTAAGTTTCTATTTCTATCTTTTCAGTATGTACATTTTCTCTAAATTATTATTCTCTCTATTTGATATACTGCAACTGCACCTTAGTTTTTAATTAATATCAAATCAGTATTCTCACAAAATTCTGCAAAATGCTACGTTAATTATAACTTTTACTATGGTTATTTTACATACATCTTAAAATCCTTATACAAATATCACTGACATTAATACCTGCTCTGCTTGGAAGACAACGTGGTTTAACCAAAAATCAGTTTTGTTATTAGAAATGCTCATCAAGTGGAAAAAAAATCCCAATTTTTTTTCCAAAAGTGGTTGAAGTGATACAAAATTCTTATTTTCAGTGCAAAAATGTAAGCATTATTATCCCACAAAGTGGGGTTAGATTTTAGATCTTTACCTGTTAGTGTAGATTGTGCAGTCCTTGGTATTTAACTTCAAGCATTCACTGTATTTATTTACAGCTTCATCATATTTACCCTTCTTCACTAAATCATTCCCTTCACTTTTTAATGTCCTGAACTTTTCCTCAGCTTTCTCACCTGCATAACAAAAGGATCACAGTGTTACATAAGAAGGTTGGTTCATTACAGGTAACTGAATAATCTACCCAGACTAAGAATAACTGCCTGGCATCTGGAGTATTTTTATCAGTTTGCACATTCCAATTTCTGTCCCACATCTTCCTGCTGCTCTAAGGAAGGAATGAACATACATACATGCATTTGACATAACACACTCTTTCCAATACACCAAGGTAACTATTTTTGCTGAAAATAATGTGAATGCAACAGACAACTCTACTTTTATCTTCTCCTGTCAACCTGCTCTTTGTGGCACAGAGGGATGAACCATTGAAATACTGGCTCTATTTACAGTGGTGGAAATGTAATCAGTAGCATTAAAAGCCTTCTAGATCTTCACCATCACACCCAAAAGGCCATTATGTTACCTAATATTCTTTCTGCAAGCAACCAATCCATCACAATATCTATGTTAAACCGACAGTGGCAATCACATCACTGGGGTTAGTGAGACATCAACAATATTCTGTTAGTGACTTTTATGATAAAGATGTTTCAAGTAACTGGAAAACACCAAACATACAGCATTTATATATATATATATATAAATATATGTGATGTGATATATATATAAATGCTTTGTTCTTTCATAATTGTCTTTCCTTCCATACCATTTGTTGCACATGCTTCTGGATTAGACCACAACTTTAATGTTTGCTATGGAAAACCAAGCCTGATTGCACTTTCATGTCCCTTGAAGTAGACTAAGAAGTGTTTTATATCAAAATCCCACAGAACACGCTCTGTGGAGACAGCGATGGCTAACAGTAAAGTTTCAGAACACATTAAACATCACCTAAGGAATTGCTATCTTTGCATCTTTATGATAATCTTCAAATTATCTCTCTTTGCAAAGTTATACGATGTTGTAGAGAGGTAAATTTAATCCTTCCTAGTTAAGTTAAAATGAAATAAAAAAAACCCAACAAATTGCAACAAACTCCTTAATAACAGCAAAAGCCCTGCAGCATAAATATAAAAGCTTAGCTTCCAAATTTTCTTAATAGCAACACACTTGTGTAAAATTTCAGTTTTCTACTTCATTTCAAAAATAAGTGCTAAACTGTCCAATCCTTAAGTGATAAATCAGTAACAATATGCACAACTAATGGAAATGGCTTCAGCCATTGGACATTTTAAAAAATAGAGTAAAACTTTTATGAATTTAATTGAGCTTAAAATATACACTGACATCCTTCACTTTCCTTAAACAAAAAACTAAGTTCCTGTAGCACGGCCATTGTTCTACATATGCTATTACTCAAATTATTCATAAACTACACCATTCAAGTTTTCCAGAACCACACTTAATTCTCAAGAAAAATGTCAGATTATCATAAATGCATGTGTGTGTAAGCTGTCTGTTGCTCTACATCAAGCACAAATAAGTTTAAGGATGACCTTTCTGATAGTGTTAAGGTCTTTAAATCTATAGTGCCCAAGAGTACAGATTATTTGAAGGTATGCAGTAACTGATTGTAGAGTGGTCTCTCTACAACGTAATTATGTGCTGTGTTCTCCTCTCTCTGTTAAACAAACATAGATATAGATGCCCCATGCCTGGAGGCATTCAAGGCCAGGCTGGATGTGGCCCTGGGCAGCCTGGTCTGGTGGTTGGCAATGCTGCATGTAGCAGGGGGGTTAAAACTAGATGATCATTGCGGTCCTTTTCAACTCAGGCCATTCTATGATTCTGTGATCTTCAGTGCTAATTTTCTTTATATAATCATAAAACACATAAGGGAACCTTATTTAACCATAATGAACAGTCAAGGAAGATTCAAAAATGATATAGCTAAGGCCATTGCAAGAGGATTTAATATCAATAAGAGCAGAATTGGAGAGGCTCCTTCACCTGATTTACTGAAGCAAGAAAAATGAAAACTCCACCAAAAAGAAAAAATCAGAGGGAAGAAAGTGTCCTAACTGGAGGTAAGCACTCAGTGCACATGAAAAGTCTCTGAACCAACATTTCTTAAGAGCGCTTACTGAATGGCCACTGTTGAAATTAAATTCTGTAGTAAAAAAAAAAATCAGAATTTTTCTTTCGTAGTCCGCTTCACTACATGCTGGCCACATAGAAGCCTACTTGTTCTGTTCTAACAGCTGAGTGATATTTTTATTAACAATTAAATGATGGCTACAGATTATGCAGCTGGTTATGATACTTACTTGGGTTTCTGTCTAGTTTATTTCTGGGGGGGGAGAGAAGTGTTCTAGTTGCTGTACGATGAGGTCAGGGAAACCAGTGACACTTGTGATACGACTCGATACACTGCTGATCAGCATTTCTGCTATATTTTATATCACCTTAGAAATGACATGCTGCAAACTACACTGCATCATTTGGCCTCCAAAAAAATTTACCATAACTGTGGCTCTATAAGGTGCATCAAACCTAGTCACATAAAAGATCAGCTAATTTGACTTTTCACAAAGTTCTCCAATAAATATTTTTCTAAAGTCCTTTCTTTACTATATTTAATTGCATTCCATTTTTTGGATAAACGTATTTTCTAGTACATACATATCTGCATTAGCTATACATACGATTCATCTGCAACTGTTCTTCTTTGTTGATATCTGTGGGACTTCTTGGCTTAACCTCTGAAGTAAAGTTGGCTCCATCCCACCTGTGTAGCTGAGCAGCAACAGGGACAACTGGAATCGGTGGCAGTTTTTCCCTCCAACAAGAGCCATCTTGATCAATTAAAGTCTTCGTTATTCTGAAAAGGAAAAGCCCCATCAACACAACTCTTCATACATTTAATTCACGCTTTAATAACTTACAAATTAAATAATTCAATGTTCCAATTAAAAAAAAAAAAAAACTACCCACACAAAACTGAACAATTATCCTTAAGATTATTGAAAAAAAAAACAACAAAACTGTCTTGGTAGTCAATACTACTGAATTTATTTATTTGATTCAGACTTTCTCCCTTTTTAAATGAGAGTACTTATGCTCGTATGTAAGAGACAGGACAATGACATCAGCCAGATCTATAAAAGCAAATGTCAGATTTTGCAATCAAGCTCTAAGTGCTGCCTCAAACATGCAGTAAAGAAAGGGGGGAAGGGTAAGGGAAACAGACATCTATGCATGAGCTACATCTCAGCAGCTCATTGGTGTTATCTGAAACAAGAGTAAAATACAACATCCTGAGACATAAGCATGGTACCTAAATTTGCCCATGTCAAACAAAACACAATTATCTCTCACAAAAATATTTTCTGAACAACCAGTGCAGTTCACAAATTACTTACTAAATTACATTTCTTACAGCAGTCAGAAATTCTTCACTGGATTATTCTTCATCGCCATTTAAAAATGCAAAGAAAAGTATATTCAAACTGTTCAGGCTCTCTTTAACCAATAGATTACAGATCATCTGTTTCTACACACGAGGGGTTCAATACAGAATACAGTTAACTAGGAGTTTCCCATTGCTGTGATAGGTTTTGGAGAAAGACCTAAACAAATATGAGTAAAGGAGTCGTGGTTTTCTTTCAACTTTTGTAGTGATTTAAAAAGCAAACATACAAACAAAAAAAATGCCCAATCAAGCAAATATTAACATATGATGAGAATGCTAATAATATAAGTGATATAAAAGCCTTCTAGTATCAACATGAATTTAGGAGCCAAGAGGTAGCAAGTCTGAGGTCTACTTAGCAAAGGAAAGCTTTCAAAATAATAAAGTAAGTCAAATTGATACTCTGTAAATCAATAAATTGGAATTTGCATATTAGATGCATTTCTATCTAATGTAGTGCAAGAAGACACCCTATGCTAATTATCTGCCAAAAAATAAAATAAAATCTAGTAACCCTAAATGTGACTCAAATGAGACAAAATGAGCATGAATAACCCAGATAAAGTTTCCTTCCTTGTTTTTTTCCTTTATAAAAGTTTCAATAACAATGGCTATAAAGTAAAAAAACTCCTCAGTGCAATACACCTGCTGGAGCCAAAGCAGCTGGCACCAAACTATTTTCCTATTAGGATCCAAAAGAAGAACCAATACAAGAAGCAGCACTTCTAATATTATTTCATAGAATCACAGTCTGGTTAAGGTTGGAAGGGATCTCTGGATTCATCTGGTTCAGTTTCCGTGCTCAAGTAGGGACAACTTGAGCAGAGTAGGCAGACACTGATTGTAAAACAGAAATTAACACAGCATTTTAAAAAATAATACAGAATAAAAACACTGTTTGTATAATGCATGATTTTATGTGCTATGTTGCATGAAACATGCATGCTATATGCTGCATGAAACATACCATCTGGTATTGAAAATAAGTTCTTAACACTACAAAATGTGATATTCTGTGTATGATCTAGCTATTTAATCTGTTTTCCAAGTGAACAAGAACATTTTTCTTTGTATTAACTGCATATACCCTTCCAGGGCTTTCCTCTATCTGGGTGATTAATAAGGAGTATTTTATAGGGCAACAGAGAAATCTGTGCAAGTTCTGTTTTGTTCTTATTCTACTAAAGCTTTAGGTTTTTTTCTAAGCATCATTTGAATGCAAGTGTTAAGAAAAACATGACACACTATCATAAGTTAGACTGCCCTAAGATTTACTCTGGTAATGTTATTAGAGAACACTTTGTACACTTTATATTAAAAAGTCAATTATTTCTTTTTCTGGTTCTTCTCATAGAAAATAACAGAATAATTCTGTTGAGAATTGAGAGAAGTGGAATGACATTTCAATTTAATAAATGGAAATGCATGAACATACTGACCAGCATGAAAGACACAATTGAAAATCATCTAACCATGATAAACACACAATTCTTTATGCTTGTTTTCAGCTGACTCTTCAGAAAAATAAAAACTTTCTTTCTTATTTTACTTTGGTTGTAAAATGGCAGGTAAAGGCTCTATCTTAAAAATTCTACTTATTTTTAACATGAGAACAATCTGAAACATCACACTGAACAGCTCTTAGGTTTTAAGAGTTTTTGAAAGCCTGCTTAGCAAGTAAACATAGCGAGATGAGCCTTAACAAGATTTAGTGAGCCCACTTTCAGACAGAAGTAGAAAGATGAGGTTTTCCAGTTTCCTACAGAATCACCACCCAGTTTTCTCCAGAAACTCAAGAACAAATAAATCTTTCAGTAAAAGCAGGTTGTTAAGACCTGGCGTTTCTAAAAAATTTAAAGATCTATTTTGAGGTTGTCCCACTAAGCTAAAGGGCTGTACAGTACCTACAATTCTTTGTTAAAACTCATTTTTAAAGGTGTATCACTTTGGAAATAAAAATTGATAGTTTGGTCATTGATTACAGGTTAATTTACAAGTGATAAAATACTCAAAAATAATTTATACTAAAAGTTCAGTAATGCAGGAGGTCTATGCTCAAGAAAGTAAGAATTTGCAAGCAAAAATTAATTACCAGCAGAAGAGAAGAGAAGAAGGAAGAAGCAGCTGAAATAAGGTGATGGGTTGCCAGGGAGGAAAGAATAATGAGCAGTGAAGCTAAAAACATAAGGAAGGCCTAGAGAGGAGAAAAGGAAGAATGTTAAGGGAAAAGAAGGAAATAAGCTTATTACTAAGCAAGTTACAAGTCATTGTCAGAAAAAAACAAAAAAAGAATACCTGCAGATAAATAAGCCAAGAAGATTTAAAAAAAAAGGGGTATAATAAGTCTAATAAGCTGTAGAGACACCAAGACAGGAAGTTACTTCACCAAACCAAACAGTCTATTATTAATGCAGATACAGGAGATCAGTGACAATTTGTTGTGTAATCAAAAATATGACTACAAAGAGGAGATAGTAAAGTTTCATGATATCCTTTGGACGTCTCTTCTTAAATGAGCAGAACTTAAAAATATTATTGCCTCTTCACTGAAGTATAAAGAGAAACATAGAAACTCATGACCTTGCCTTAAGAAGGAAAGTACTAGATTCCATCATAAAAAGTTGCAGGAACACGGGGTCCTGCTCTACAATTAATGTCTGTTTTGCTTTCCTAAGTAGTTTTTGTCCAATCAAAGGAAAAGGAAAGAAAATCAACATGAAAATCCTGTCATTTGTGCACTTATGTACTTTCAACATGTTAATGACAATAAAATTGTAAAAACACTATCATAATAATGAACGATTATATATAGTATCTTACAATAAGATTTTGTAATGTATCTCCAAGCAATCTGTTATTTTCCTTTTTTTTTTTTTTTTTTTTTTTTTACATCTCTAAGCTTTGTATCCAATCACTGCAACAAGCTGCTCCAGTGCACAACTGCAGCATACTGAAGAATTCACACCTAACATAAATCTTAGTTGCCACATAAAGAGTGCTAGTAAATTAAGGAAACAGAAACATCCGAGAAAAGGTATGGACTTAAAATATCACTTAAAATATAGCTTTACATGATATCAAATACAAGGAAAGAAGTTGGAGTGCCAGTCCAAAAAAAAACCAGAAGTCTTTTAATATTATAATTTTAAAAGAAAAATGTGCTGCAGAATGCAATTGTTAAGCTGTGGGAAAACAACAAAATTAAACAGCCAGTCCTCTAGTTCTAACATACTAGTTGTGATGACCTTGCTGTGGGATAAATGCAGAAAGGACGAACTCCCTGGCAAAACTGAACTACATTCCTCTATTTGGACTGATGTGTAGAAAATGTACAAAGTGCATTTACCTATTTATACTGTCATTTGCTGCTTGTATGCTGCTGTCTATTTGTAGAACTGTTTTGTAATCAACATATGCCTGTCGATACCGCTCCATAGACTCATATGCCATTGCTCGTCGTAGGAGAGGCTTGAGGGAGAATGGCTGAAGCTCCAGAGCTCTGGAAAAAACAATAGAGATATGATGTTAAAGCAGAAAAAAGTAAATAACAGTAGTACAACTATTTTGTTATATATACAACTATATGGAACAACTGTGTGATTTCAGATTTGACTTACAGTAATAAAACCCAGGAAGATACTGTTGATTATTATTTAGGGCTTATTATCTATAAGCGCTAAATGAAATGCAGTTCAGAAACAGCTTTACTACAACTTACTCGACTCAAATCCACATCTTCCACCTGCAGAACTAATCCTTTCCTGGTGATGAAAGTAACAAAATAACAGCTGTTATTTTTCTCAAGTCATGCCTAGACCTACAGGAATTTCAGGTCCATTGTGCTTTTGCCTACACAACTTTTAATTCTTCTTCATTATGTGAAAATATTCATGTAAAAATACGTTTAATGAAAAACAAATGTATCCCTGTCTACTTTTGCCTTCTAGGTTTTTGCCTGTCTTATTCATTTGTGCCTCAATCCCTGATACTGTACAATCAGAACTTCTGAACATCAAGTGCTTTGCCAGTAATTTGATGAAGCCACAAAAGCTTTATCAATTAAATATTATCTTTTACTAATGACTGATTCTTGCTAATAAGACAAAAAGATAAACACCAAAATACTTAAATTAGTGTCAGTTTGGGCAATTAGATGTCATGGAATCCTGAGCTAATTCAGACTCAGTAAGGTCTCTAATCTGACCTTCTGCTAAATGTGGAGTCAGCTCTGACATCAGACAAAGGTTGCTCAGAGCTTTATCCAGTCAGGCTTTGAAAACCTCCAGGGAAATTTCTGCACAACCACCCCAGGCAGCCTGTCACAATATCCCATTGTCCCCCACTGGGAAATGTTTTTTTTCTTCCAATGTGCAGTCAGAACCTCTTGGGTTTGTTTTTGCCTGCTGTCACTTACCCTCCTACAGTACACTGCCAGAATCAGGTTCCACCTTCTGGGTGATCTCCTCATAGGTCCTGGCTGCCTGCTGCTAGGAACCCTCAAAGCCATTCTTCAAGCTGAACAAACCCAGCTCCCTCTGTTTCTCCAGGCAAGTGTTCCAAAAGCCCAAAGCCCCCTCAGAGACACTTCATTGAACTCATTCTAGTTGATCAATACCTTTCTTGTACTAGGGAAACCAAAATCCAACACAATAGCACAACATAGTTGCTGTCTAACAAGTGCTGAGAACGGAGGATAATCACTTCCCTTAATCCAGTGGCTATGCTCCTCTCTGTATGGCCCAGGATGTTATTGGCCATCCTGGCTGTTAGGTTAGCTTTTCACCATCACTCCTCCGTAAAACTAGAGAAACAACCATCTCTGGAACAAAGATTTCCAATTTCTATTTCATAAGCATACCAACATTCCAACTTTCCTTATCTTAATGAAGGCATTTGAAAAATACAAAAACATATGATGTCACAGCTCTTAAAAAACTTCGCAAAAAATGCTCCCCATTCTGTAACTAACACAAAAACTAACAGAATATTCAGGCTCCTAGTATTTAGAATGACAGAAAAATCACAATTATTATTTGGAGTGTAAGACATCCCTTGAAAGATAGCTTTGGTGGGAATGCAAAACTCTCTTCCCAGGGCAGAATGTAAAGATAACACATTCACAAAACAAGTCACACCACCATATTAAATTAGGGAAAATGAAGTTAGTATAGGAGCCCTGTTTCGCTCATAATAACAAGAAATATCCAAATCAGAGACTTGAGACAAAGAGTGATCCAACAGATGGCTTTTCAGAAATCTTTAAGCCTTATGCAGCTAAAACTTAGTAGATGTCCAATACATTTGTATACTTTTAATGTCACAAACATAAGCACTACATCAAGTTTCACTTGATTAAATCAAGTAATTTATTTGGAAATCATCCCTTATATTGTGTAGCCTAGAGTAAATTTAACTGGCATTGCCTACTTTCTGCAGTTTGGCAGTTCTGCCTCCCAGCTTCTACATTACTTCCACCTCTGTTAGGCTTAGTAGGCATCACTTGTTCTTGAATATGCACCAGATTAAAAACACTGGGATAAAATGAGAAAATAAGCTTTCAGTCAGTAAGAATATAAAAACCAAAATCACTGCATTATTGACTTTGGCTGAACTCTTCTATAATAGAAAACTTCTGAGTTTTCTGTTGGCTGTTAAGTATGCCATCTTGTTTTATCGTATATCACAGAACGGCCTGGGTTGAAAAGGACCACAAAGATCATCTAGTTTCACCACCCTGCTATGTACAGGGTCACCAACCACTGGACCAGGCTGCCCAGAGCCACATCCAGCCTGGCCTTGAATGCCTCAAGGGATGGGGCATCCACAGCCTCCTTGGGCAGCCTGTTCCAGTGTGTCACCACCTCTGTGTAAATCTGTTATCAGACAGCTGTCCATGATCCTGCATCTCCTTTAACAAATGTGGTTAAC